TTTTTTTTAAAAAAATTAATTAGAATTCAAGTATTTTAAATTGTCTTTACTCTTTTAGATACAGCAAAGAATTGAGTATAAAATGGTTTGTACATTTTGTTATTCTAATTTCTGGCACTCTCACTTCATTTTTTAAAAACTTTTCCCTTCTTCTCTTTTACTTTCTAATTTCATTTTTTCTGCCTTAATTTCCTTCCTTACTTTAAATCAATTTTAAAAACTCAATTCTAAGGTCATGGATTTAGCTCAGCGACAAGCGCGAGGTCATAAGTTCAATCCCTGGTACCAGAACAAAACAAAAATGAAAACTCAATTCTGTCTTGCCTAATTGTGGGTCTTTCTTACTGTAGGTGTGAAAAAATATTTATCAATTTCAAAGGCGAGCTGAAATCTAGGTCTACAGTTGTTTGTTATCGTATTGTGGTCGTATTTTTTCTTTAAAAGCCTGTGGTGGGGAGCTGAGGGTGAAGCTCTTACCTAGCAGGACCTGGGTCTGGTCCCCAGCACCTCCAAACCAAGACAGCAGCAGCCCAGGCTCGGGGAGCAGGGGCCGCCCTGCAGCTCGTGTCAGCAGCGCTGCTGGCCCAGCTGCCAGCGCGCAGTGCCCACAGCCTGCCTGCTGTCCTTCTGGCTGTGCTTCCAGTGAGCCCTAAATTCTAGCGAGGCCGAGTGGGATACTGACCTGTGTCAGGAATGTGTAGGGTGGTCCCCCCTGCCCCGTCTGATTTTTCCTTCAATGGAAGTGACCTTTGCTGCCTTTATTTCTGCCCATCTAGACCCTACCTGCCCTTCAGAGTGCCCGGAGGTATGTTCTTCATGACATTTCCCCGGGCGTTGCCGCTGTCGCTGTGTGTGGTTCTCTCTCTCCCTGAGCTTTTGATGGCTTCCTGCTTCTGTTGCCAACTAGCTCAGTGGGTGCTGATGAGTGTGGCCTTCCAGGGAGTGAGAAGAGCTTCACTTGGCGAGTGTGTTTTCCTCACAAAAAGGAAGGAAGGCAGAAGCCACTGCGAGAGCAGCAGTGCCCTGCCACAGCACACACACATGCCACGCCGTGCGTCCTTCCCTGGCCAGCTCCTGGGAGGTTCTGTGGGTGTACAGCGCCTGCCACATCCTCCTCCGGTCTCTTCAGGCTCCGTGCAGCCCACTCCTCGGACGGACGATCCGTGCTGTGATTCCTCTGCTCCAGCAGCACCGACCAGCAGTGCTGTGGGCCAGGAGCGGAGAGAGACCAGGGAGCCAGATGTAGGGCAAGAGCGCCTTCCACCTTTCGAGGACTGGTCCCACGATGGTCTTTGAGAAGGACCAGGAAGGCACTTGGGCACACACTTTAATGGGGAAAAGCCTGTTGAATTTGTAAAAAATTAACAAAACTTTTCAGGGAACAAAATTGTTTCCTTGTTTGTGCCAGGTATGGTGGCAAATGCCTGTAATCCTAGCACTCAGGAGACCGGGGCAGTACTGCTGCAGGTTTGAAGCCAGCCTGAACCCACAGTGAGCTCAAGGCCAGCCTGAACTGCGTAGTAAAACTCTGTCTCAAAAAGCCGATAAATAAGTAAATCTTGCTATATATTCCAGGATGGCCTTGAACTTACTATTAGCCCAAACGGATTGCAAACTCATTGTGATCCTCCTGCCTCTGCCTCCCAAATGTGGAGATTACCTGTGTGTATTACCACACCTGGCATGTTTTTCTTAAAACTATATTTTTTCCCAACAGTTGGTCAAGTTTTTACAGACCCTGACCTTGTTGCTTCTCAGTTTACACATTCTCGCAGCATACTATTTTTTGTGTCCCCAGTTTGCATACAGTAATTATAGGGTGTCACTAAGGAAGACAAGACCTCCTTTATTGGGAATTTGTGTTATGGTGTAGTGGAAAGTGGCCCACAAGAATAGATGTGTGTGAACTGTTTCATTGCCACTCAAGAGAAGAGCGTGAGCCTTTCTGACAGAGTGAGCAGCTGCGGAGCCAGGAGGGCTGTCCTTTACCTGTGCCTCCCTCCCTTCAAGTGTCAGAGTGCAGCTGTCCACTGGTGAGAGCCCGAAAGGGCTACATGACGCCGACCTCCCTGAATCGCGGGTGGTAGGTGATGGGCAGCGGCGGGCCCTGAGGGCCTAAATAGAGTTTTGGTTTTGTAAAATCATTTATTGTCTTCTTAGGAGCTTTTTAAATTTTCTGGAAAGAATAAAGGGAAAATCATCACAAAACTCAAGGCAAAAGGTGCCCAAATACAACAAAAAACTAAAATGTGGACGGGGGGCCCAGGGGCGCCTGTGAGCCCTTAGACCAGACCAGCTGGTGCTAGGTCGTGGCTCTTGATGAGTCTGTGAGTTTTTCAGGGTGCATAGGGTTGGGATGTCACCTTCAGGTACCTGGGGGAACGTGTCTGTGTGCTTACCTGTCAGATAAAAAGGAACAAAGTTCTTTCTTAAGTCTTTAAAAGAAAGGGTAACCTTATTTGTTATCAACCAATTTGTTACAGAATTCCTTTTTGAATTCAATGTTTTATATTTCTGATTTTTCAACCTTTCATGTAGTGATTCTGCTGAGACCAAGGCATTAGCATGTGTCCTAGGAGGTCACACGTGTGCAGGACCCCGGGGCTGGACTGTGTGGCAGCACTGCCACTCCCGGGCTCAGTGGATTGCAGGAGGAAGGCTTTTTCTCAAGTTGTCTCAGTGGCAGGGAGCCTGCTTTTGTCATTGCTCAGTGACCCAGGATGATGGGACAGGCACATTGTTGTACGTTAGCAGTGAGACACAGCAGCTCTTAGCTTCCCGCAGGCAGCACTACCTGTGCCAGGGCCAACTAGATGGCACCTCTGTCACCATCTGTCTTTTTGGTTGTCACACTGTGCTGTGCTCTCCCTTAAATGTAAAACATACTCACTTGAGCCTCACTATCCTCAAAGCCCAGGACCCCAACTGCCGGGCATGGTGGCACACACCCCTGTAATCCTAGCATGCGGTAGGCTGAGGCAGGAGGATTGTTGGTAATTCCAGACCAGCCTGGGCTACAAGTGAGCTCAGGGCTAGCCTGAACTGTATAGAGACTGTCTAAAAAGACAAAAAACAAAACAACAACAACAACAAAAAAGCAGAACTGTGAGCCCAGGTTATGCAGGAGCACAGTGCCCGGTGGGCTCCTTGTGGGATGATTCTCTTCCCACACCAGAGACTTGTGAGAGTCTGACAAATGACCCAGTGCCCCCAGCATAACCAGCAACACGGCAGTAAGCAGGGACCATCTCATAATAGTAAACACTGCCTGAAGGGGCAGGAGGAGGACACAGCTGTCTCGCTCCTCTGGGGAGCGGAGGTGCAGGGTGGGCCGCTCCCTCCCAGGTTTCCCCCTCCACCTCTCCTTCTGCTTCTCCTCTTCCTCCCAAGACAAAGGCACGTTTCTGCTGCACCGGTGCGTGTGCTTCTCCAGAAGCCTCCCATGCTGCACAACCGAGCCATATCTTCCTCCTCTATAAAATACAAGCGGCATGTCTGCTTAGATGTCACGGGAAGCACGGTGGCACCCATTGCCACTCCATTCTAAAATGCCAGTGAAGTGAGAGTGACTTTAAACAAGAACAAACCACCAGATCGAAGAAAGTGGGGGAGACGGTAGAAGAGGTGATGCAGCAGAGATGAGGGAGGTCTGTGGACCGCGGGCGCTGGCTGTCCGAGTTTGGCACAGCTGTGCTGGGCCGGTCGGGAGAGCTGCTGCAGACAGGCTGCGAGGCAGTGCGCCTTAAGCCCAGAGGTGACGCCGCTGGAGAGTGGAAGGAAAAGTCAGGACCCATCAGTGGATTCGCGTGGGAAAATAGAGGGGAGCACTCCCAGGGGCCGGGGAGAGCGCCAAGACACATGGGCACCGCGGCTTGTAAAACTGGGTGCTCTTTCAGTGATTCATTTAAAAGAGTTTAGAAATGAACCCCAAGGTTCTGTCGTGAGTGTTAAATAGAAATCCTGAGTACTGAGAGGCTTCAGGTCCTGAGCACTCCGCAGGGGTCCAGTAAGTGCCCGCTTCCTGCCTGGGGTCTGAGGGAGGGCCCTGCCTGCAGCAGTGCTGGTGAGTCAGCAGTTCGGGGCTGGCTCAGCGGCAGCAGGGGAGTCACCAAGCAGCCGTGCGCCCTTCTCGCTGGTTTGGTTTTTTTTAATGGATGGCTTTTTTTTTCTTGGAACTATATCAGTGTGATGGTTTCTGTTTCTCAGAATTTTGCTTTCTGTGCCACAGACACAGAGTCACCTAGTTGAGTAGATCCTGTGAGATACATGTAAAAATACTTGACACCTTTGAAGTTGCAAGTTAATTCTTTTTTTTTTTTTGATACTGGGAATCTGACTCGGGACCTTGTGCTTGCCAGGTAGGCACTGTGCTGCCGAGCTACATGTCCCCAGCCCTGAAGTTACTTTAATAAGCCTGAAAACAGCCCTTTCTCATGTCCAGCTTACAGATGAGCAGAGGCTAAGGGCCATCTGCGCCCCCTCTGTAGCTAGGCCAGTTTTCTGCTTTGTCTCCTGTGCCTATCCCGCCACCCCCTGCGTCCTGTGGGCTTGGGCAGTGGCTAAGGTCACTGCACTGAAAGCAGGGCTGGCGGACAAAACTCTTGTGTGCTTCAAAATGTGTTGTGCTACCTCACTGTCTGTGCCATGCAGACAGAGACCTCAGACTGGCCACCTCGGGGTTGTTGCCTGCAGGGCGATGAATGCCACTCAGTGTCAGGTGATTCCTTCTTCACTGAGTGTAACGTGCGCCAGTGCTGTGTGTAGCCTGCGGGTGTCTTGTGAGCTGTCATAGAATTTTCATCTTAACAGAAATGTTCGTGGGTTCATGTCAGCCATGACAATAACGGCTTGGCCCAGCCGTGGCAGCGGCGCGATGCCTTGTGCATGTACACAGTGTGTACACAGCCTTCAGCTGCGTTTGTACTGGCCAACACCCCCGATAGACGCGTGCCGTAAGAAGGAGACAGGAGCCTGACTCTGTCCTTTTCCTTTCTCTGTAGGTGAGAGCTCCGAGGCCCTTGCAGCTCTCCCCTGAAGGAGGTCCTGGTGCTGCGCCCTTGCCGTAATGCCGGACCCATCCCGCTGACACTGTGGGACTGTGACACAGACAGAACTGCACAAAGGTTCCAGCCATATCTGTTTGTCACTTGAGCAATGTTCTGTGGATGGGAAAGATCCGAGTCTTATTACCTTATTGGAAATCCATTTCTCTAGTCCAAACTGCTTAGTGGATTGGGCCACTGACCAATGAGCCACCCAGCCGGTTCCAGTCAGGAACTGGCAGAAAACTCTGCTGTGCATGTAGCAGGGATGGCACAAGAAGACAGCCGTCGCGGTCCAGTGCCACCCGCCTTTTACCACGGTGCCAACCAAGAACTCGACCTGTCCACCAAAGTGTACAAGAGGGAATCTGGGAGTCCCTACTCTGTGCTTGTGGACACCACGGTGAGCAAGCCGCATCTCCACGAGGCAGAGGAGCAGCCGTATTTCAGGGAGGCAAGAGCAGCGTCTGACGTGCACACTGTCAAGGAAGACCGGGAGAATTCTGATGACACGGAGGAGGAGGAGGAAGAGGAGGAGGAGGAGGAAGAGGTCTCTTACAAAAGGGAGCAGATCATAGTGGAGGTAAACCTTAATAATCAAACGTTAAATGTGTCTAAAGGGGAAAAGGGTGTCTCTTCTCAGTCCAAAGAGACTCCTGTGCTTAAGACGAGCAGTGAGGAGGAAGAGGAAGAGAGTGAGGAAGAGGCCACAGATGACAGCAATGATTATGGAGAGAACGAGAGGCAGAAGAAAAAGGAGAAGATAGTGGAGAAAGTCAGCGTCACCCAAAGGCGACCGCGGAGAGCTGCCTCCGCAGCCGCGGCTGCCGCTTCCCCTTCTCCCAGAGCCACGAGAGGGCGTAGGAAGAGCGTAGAGCCGCCTAAGCGTAAGAAGCGGGCGGCCAAAGAGCCCAAGGCGCCGGCCCAGAAAGCTAAGTGTGAAGAGAAAGAGACTCTGAGCTGTGAGAAGTGCCCGCGGGTGTTTAACACACGCTGGTACCTGGAGAAGCACATGAACGTCACTCACAGGCGCATGCAGATCTGTGATAAGTGTGGCAAGAAGTTTGTCCTGGAAAGTGAGCTGTCCCTCCACCAGCAAACAGACTGTGAAAAAAACATCCAGGTAGGTCTCCCCACCGAGAGGGCACGCTTTGCAGCATAGAGCCTGGCCATTGGGATTCGTCTGATTCTGCCCAGGAGAATACATGCTAGAAGCTCGAGGGACAGAGTTCACCAGTTTGTCCTTTCAGAGGCTCCTGCCTGGTCTGTCCAAAGCCAAGGCTTACCCTGGCGTTTGCAGAGCATTACTGTACAGTCACTGAAGCTGGACTAGTGGGAGCCCAGGGGACCTGGTAGAGGTGATTGACCAGGACATGCGGGCAGCAGCAGCTTTGCACTGAGATTCGCTGTTGTAGGACGCGTGATAGAATTCATGCCAGGAGACCCAAGTGAGAGGCAGGGGTAGAGAAAGGCTCCTTTCTGTCTAAAAGGGTGCCAGAGTCTAGTGCAGCTGATGGACAGAGCCATCAGGAGCCAGAGCGGTCGAAGTGGAAGACCTCCAGGAGTGAGTGTGCTTTGCCATGGAGTGCTGACTACACTAAATTTGTCAAGAGGCTGAGCCCAGTGCAAACGGTAACCAAGGCTGGGCTGAGCAAGGATGTTGCCCGCTGGGCGGGCAGTAAGGTTCCCTCTGCCCCCCACAGTGTTGTTAAGGCCACCAGGCTGGTGAGCGGAGTGCTGCCTGGGATGGGTGAGAGCCCTGCACTGGGTCAATTGTGGCTGGTGGGGAGGAAGGGGCTGTTACGTGCGTGTACGGCTGTGTGCATGTGCACGCATTGACAGAAGGTAAGTGTGTTTATGTCTGCGTAAGATCTGCGCAGTGGAAATGCTGTGTGCCATATTTAACCTCCCTTTAAAGGATAAAATGTAGCAGGGCTGGGATTTAGCTTAGTGGTGTAAGCGCCTGCATTGCAAGCATGCAGTCATGAGTTCGATCCCTGGTACCGAAAAAAAAAAAAGAAAAAAGAAAAAAGAAATCAAGGACACAGCGTCTTTGTTTTTTGGAGTATTGCTAATATTGGTGGTTAATTTTAATTTTTGCTTTTCTTCTGTTGCTTTGAGTCATCCTTGAAATCATTACCTTGCTTTAAAGAGCTTTAACACACACACACACACACACACACACACACACACACACACTCTCCCTTTGTTAAAATGCTGCCGAGCGCGATGGACATCCTGAGCTACATAGCGAGACTGGCTCAAAAAAGTGAAAACAAAAATATAAACAAAAAACCCTCACTGCCTTTGATGTGTGGGCAGTGACTGGAGCTTGCCAGGGGCAAGCAGGCCGGGTCACAGCACCCTTCTTGACTGGGGCAGGGAGGAGGTGGCGCGGTGCTGCTCCCTAGAGGCCGCCCCGGGATCCAGTACTGAAAAGAGGCTTCTGGTCTTCATCTATATACAGGGTGGTTTTGGTGTTTTTTTTTTTAAACTTAAATTTGTACTACATGCAGAAAATATTTAAGAAATCCTTTTTTTTTTTCCGCCTGCGCACCGTTCCTCCTGGTGTTTAAACTCGGGCTAATGTTCTGTGGGTTCCATCCAATGCAGTCCTGCCCGTTCCTGGAGAACACTAGACCTTGTCCCGATGCCCCATACACCAGCAGGAAGCATGGTGCGGAGCGACAGTGGGTCCCAGTCCTTCCCATGGGCCGTGTCAGTCTGTCCAGTGAGGAGTCAGTGACCATGGAGGCCACACCGAAGGCTTTCCTCGTGTGGCAGACTCTTGATGGTCACTAAGAACTTTTGGGTATTCTGCTTTAACCACAAATATTTACTTTGATAATTCCTGCCTGGTTGTCCTGGTTGTGACTGCAGTGTGACTCGTGGTCCGATAGATGTGTGAGGGGAAGACCCGGGCAGGCTGCAGTGGAGAGTGGGCTGGCGGTTAGGGCTGTGCCACCACTGCCACCGCCACCGCCACCGCCGTGGGGAAGGAATCTGGGAGCACACAGTAAAGCTTCAGTCTTGCGCTAATGATGGTCCCAGGTACATTTGCTAAGAGATAAAAACATCTTTTCTACTCGCACAGGTCTGTGACAATGACTGCAGGTTGTCCTGTCTGGTGTGAGGCCGGGGATGTAGCTCAGCAGCATAAGCGCCTGCCTGGCAAGTTCGAGGTCAAAACAAACAGGAAAAATGTGCTTGTGTTCTCCCGTAAACACCTGCTGACTGCATGGTGGCCCAGCGTGGAGAGGCTGTGCTCGATAATCCATGTATTAAGTAAACTTGGGCTTCTTCCATAGGAGTGGGGCTGTGCGATGCCAGCAGCCACCTGTTTGCTAAGAGTGAAACCTTCACCACGTCTTGGTTCTTGCCACTGTTTTCACACTCCCGAAGGTGTTGCTTTCTAGACCCAGGGGAGAGTGGCGCTTGTCTGGGTTCCAGCTTTGCCCAGCTGGATGGTGTTCTGTAGCCCCATGCATAAAGGTTATTTCTGTTTGTCCTGTTCAGTGTGTTTCCTGTAACAAGTCATTCAAGAAGCTCTGGTCCCTCCATGAACATATCAAGATCGTCCATGGATACGCAGAAAAGAAATTTGCTTGTGAAATCTGTGAGAAGAAGTTCTACACCATGGCGCATGTGCGGAAGCACATGGTTGGTGAGTCCCCCTCCCCCACCACCTTCCTCCTCCTCCAGGGTTCCTGTGTGCTGGGCAGGGCTGGACACGCAACGCTGCTGTGCTTTACTGTGCTTTACTAGTGTCATGTGGAGAGAGGCCTCAGCCGACATGTGTCCCCCCGCCCTGTCCTCCTGGTTGAGTGTGCATGCATTTTGTGTTGCAGCGCACACGAAAGACATGCCATTCACGTGTGAGACCTGCGGGAAGTCTTTCAAGCGCAGCATGTCCCTCAAGGTGCATTCCCTACAGCACTCGGGGGAGAAGCCCTTCAGATGCGAGGTAAGGGGTGCTGCACGTGCCTCCCGCTGAGCATGGTATGTGTGTGCGTGTGTGCGTGTGTGTGTGTGCGTGCACATGTGTGCACGCGACCCATCTCATGGCTGGTTCTCTAGGGTGACTCAGGCCGAGTGTGGCCCAGTGACAGTTATGGAGGAAATGTCCCTTTTATCCACAACTCCGCTGCAGAAACAGCGCAGATGGCAGCCAACATTGCAGGTTCTGTTTGGGGTGTAGACAGACCTGCAGCAGAGACCGTGTCAGGGCGGGTGCAAGGGACTTCTGTGCGTGGCACCCAGCCCTCGCCACTGTGTCCCCTGCAGAACTGTGACGAGCGGTTCCAGTACAAGTACCAGCTGCGCTCACACATGAGCATTCACATCGGGCACAAGCAGTTCATGTGCCAGTGGTGTGGCAAGGACTTCAACATGAAGCAGTACTTCGACGAGCACATGAAGACGCACACGGGTAAGGGCTGCGGGCGCTGGGTCTAGCATCTCATGGGAAACTCTACTCTGAGTAAACCTGACACAAGAAGAGAGCTTTATAGTGCTGAAAAGTTTGGCTTTCGTAGCCCCCCGTTTTTACAAGGGTTACTTGTTGTGAATTCCTTCTATCTGTGGTGACTTCAAGATCATGGGTCCTTACTTAGGTCCAGGAACTGCTGAACTTTTGTTTCACGTGTATGCATTCACTGTTTTTCTAAATGTTCTGGGCCTTTTAAAGATGGAGGACACTGCCTTAAATAGAACACTCAGCCAGGTGGTGATGCATGCCTGTAATTCCAGCACTCAGGAGGCTGAGGCAAGAGGATTGCCACAAGTTTGAGGCTACTCTGGGCTATATAGTGAGTCTAGGCCAGTCTGAACCAAATGGTGAGACCCTGTCTCAGTCAATCAATCAATCAATCAATCAATCAGTATGAACACTTTCAATGTGCCTTTGCTGGGCATGGAGGCACACACCAGTAATTTCAGCACTCAGGAGGCTGAGGCAGGAGGATGATCACAAGTTTGAGAGCAGCCTGGGCTACACAGTGAGTTCAACCTTGATTACTTAGTGAGACCTTGTCTCAAAGCCTGAGTGACACACTATCTCAAAAAACAAAACAAAACAAAAGAGTGCCTGAGAGGGTCCAGAGGGAGAATTGCCTTGGAGAAGAAAAGCAGGGTTCGCACTGAGAGGTGGGAGGATATCGGGCATCAAGGCTGCCATGGGGTTCACACGCATTATGGAGCTATCTTTGTAGTCAAAAGTGACGCAGCTTGTCTAGAGACACTGATCAGCCATCCGAGGGGGTTTCCTCTGGTGTGTAAACGGGTGCGCTCACCGTCAGGAGCTCACCCCGTGTGTGCACATTGGGCTGGGCCGGGTGCCGTGGGACCCAGGGGGAGGCCTGGTTTCCACTCCCTCACGGAGCCCGTGGACTGATGCACGTTCACGGATCAGTGACAGCCCACAAGTGTCTCCATGCCTGTCGTCGCCAGGTGCTGCCCCAGCACTTGCCCTTTGTGCTGCAGCAGCCAGATAGGCAGGTGGGCGCCTCGGTTCCCAGGAGGGCTGGAGATGACTCACACGGGGATCCTGGGTTTGATCCCCAGCACCACAGGAAAAAATGGCTTATTTCAGCTGAGGAAACCGAGGCTCTGAGATGAAATGGCCTGTCCAGGGCAGCCTGCCCGCAGACCACACACACGGTGACCACTTCTGCGCAGCAGGTCAGGCAGCGGGGGGGCTGTCCAGGAGCTGGGAGAGTGAGATGCCCCACCCCAGGGCCTGGCTGTGGGCTCCAGACTTGCCGGTGTGCTCAGCAGACCAAGGCCGGGGGGCAGCTGGGGACCCAGAGCCATCAATTGCTCTGAGAGCGACAGGTGCTTCAGGACTTGGAGTCCTCCCTGGCTGGCAGGTCTTTGCCAGGGAAAGTCTGTGTTAGGAGCTGAATCAGAACGAGGGGACTGTTGGGGACAGAGAGTTAGAGCAGGGAATAAAAGCTCCACCAACTGGGAGACCACAGTGGGAATTAGGTACTGCCGAGAAAACGTTTGAAGTCAGGCGAGGACGTGACGCTGAGCAGAAGGGACGAGCCAGTTTCAGAGTTCAGAGCCAGGGAGACGCATGTCGCAGCAGGAACACCCAAAGTCTGGTGAACAAGGCCACCGGGGGCACCGGCCTGGGCTTGGGCTGGGTCCACAGAGCTGCTCGGCAGGCAAGGGCCAGAGGCTGGGCAAGGCCTGCCGGTGGGGTCAGGTGTGAACTGGGGGTGCGGATGCAGGGGCAGGGCAGGAGGTGAGGAGACCGTGGAGTGGGACTGGCAAGGACCAGATCACAAGGGAGCCCTGAAGCCGTGGAAGGCCTCTGGGACGTGAAGACTGTGTGTATGTGCATGTGTGTGTGTGTTGTAATAAGCAGATTGTGGCCAGTGCTCTTTTCTCCCCCAGAGCGGGGACTGAAACCTGGAGCCCAGGTGCTGAGCTGCACTCTCTACCTTTTTGAGCCAAGTTTTCCCCAAGTCGCTAAATTGCCTGGCCTGGGCTCCTCCCACCTCAGCCTCCCTCGTGTTGGAGCGCAGCTGTGTGCTACTGGCTGCTGTCCGCAGGGTAGAGCAGGGGAGCAGGACGGAGAGGGCCAGGCCAGCCAGGTGGGTACTGCAGCCCGGTGAGCAGCGCCTGGAAGCCCTGACCGAGCAGCTGCAGCTGACATGAGGGACGAACTGAGATGTGGCACAGGCCATGGGCTTCCTGCCGTTTTCTAGGGCAGGCTGGAGAGAGGGGCAGGTTTAATGTGATTTTATGTTTGCTGGTTCTGAGGCAGCTGTGGGGCACGCCTAACAGAGAGGTGGGGTGCAGCCTGGAGGACAGCTTTAGAGCCCTGGAGGGGAGTCCTGGCTCCCTGGATCTGTGCGCTTCCTGAGATGCCTGGCGCCACTGTGCTGTGGGCCGGGAGTGCTCCTGCCTGGGGACAGTGCGGGATGCCGGCGGATCGCCGTCCTGCCCTCTGCTGCCGTCCCTGCAGTCCGTCTTTTCATCCAGCTCATTTTCTTCAAGCTCTGCACCACACCCGCCTCACAGCGAGGGCTTCACCTCCTATGAGGCAGAGCCCCAGACCTGGCCATGCGTGGGCCTTTCCCATCCCCTGGACTGGCTTGGCTTCCCAGCTCATCCTTCTACAGACTGACAGGCGCTGAGCTCCGGTGCTGTCTTTGTTCTTCCTTGGTCCAGCCTTGTTATCTTCTTACTGCTAGGGCTCAGGACCTAGACACACAGTGAGGAGCTGAGGCCTGATGACCCACAGGAGCCAGAGGCAGGCGGGTGGGCTCGGGGCTCTGCCTATGAAGGAACGGAGCGGGAGGGAGGCTCAGCAGGGGGTTGACAGGCTGTGCAGCAGTGGGGGCCAACTGTCACCTGCATCGTGACTTGTGTGGGCAGGTCTGACTGACTGGGGGCATCCTGTGGCTGATGATGTAGAGCCTCTTTATAGGGGACTCACAAGACGTGACCAGAATTCAGCACTGGAGGTGAGCACAGGTTAGAGGCTTATCATCACCGACTGCACAGGCAGTGAGCACGCTGGACCTCCCACGCACAGGGGGTCAGGTGGGAGTCAGGTGGGAGCCAGGCTAGAAACTCGAAGGTCAGGGCTACTGTGTGAAAAGTGCCAGCTTAGGAGTACCGAGGGGCGGAGGCTGTGGGTCTATAATTGGTTATCAAGCAGGGCTGCTGTTAACACACTTTGTTGTTCCAGAAAATAGATCAGCATTAAAAATAAGATAATGCCTGGGATTTAGCTTAGCAGCATAAGCACCTGCTTGGCAAGTATGAGGTTGTGAGTTCGATCCCTGGTACCAAAAAACAAAAAATAAGGTAAAAACTGAGTCAGATGTGGTGGCACACCCCTGAAATTCCAGCACGGAGGAGCCTGAGGCAGGAGGATCTCCATGAGTTCAAGGCTGGCCTGAACTACATAGCAAGATCCTGCTAAAAATAAATAGTAAAAATCACCCATAATCTCATTATCTAAAGATAATGATTGCTATCATTTGTCATATTGTGCCCATATCATTCCTATGCACATTTTAAAGGTGGATACATTTTATAATTTATTTACTAGTTTATAGATAATCTTTATAGGTTGTCGATGTCCGCTCCCGGCCGGCAGGAAGGACACACGACAAAGTCTGGTAGTGGACAACCTTTTCTTTTTATTTTCCTTCTCCGTACAGCCTGCCCTGGGTTCTCCCAGCTGAAGCCTCCTCTGGTCCGCTCCCCGCGGCTCCTTTTGTGCTTCAGTCTGCCCCAAAGCCTCTACCGGTCCGCTCTCCGCGGCTCCTTTTGGGCTTTTACTTCTGGGCTTCTACCTGGCTTCTTCTTCCGCCCAGGGGTGGCACCGGTATATATACGGGTACAGTGTCCAATCATGTTAAAGTAAGCAAGGCAAGCTGATTGGCTAACATCATCAGTTGCCAGGCAGACTATATTGTTGAGCGGGTTGTTTACGCGGTAAGCAGGAAACTAACATATTCGATGGGAGGGGTAATCTACCTCAGGCTTTGCTCTTTACCACAGGCCGCACGTCCGCCGCGCAAGGCGAGCTATCACAGACGCGGCTCCCAACAATAGGTTATAGATTTTCATATTAATAATTCCATTTCTGTACTTTACGTTTTTAGTGACATTGTCCATTAGATGTCTATACTGTAATTGATTTATGTTTTTTGTTGTTGTTGTTTTGTCTCACTTTGTAGCCCAGGCTGGTCTCGAACTCGCAGTGGTCCTCCTGCCTCAGCCTCCCAAGTGCTAGAATTACAGGCCTGCGCCACCACACCCCGCGGTTTATGATTTTGTTTGGGGTTTTTGAGACAGGGCTTCCCTGCATAGTTCAGGCTGGCCATGAACTCACTGTGTAGCCCAGCCTGGTCACAAGCAATGATCCTTCTCCTGCCTCAGCCTCATGGGTTCTGGGATTACAGGCGAATGCTACCACAGCCAGCTCACAATTGGTTTAATCATTGAATTTGGTTTTAAAATGATTGGATGCAGTGGCTCTGCAGGGGTCCAGGAAGAGGGGTGCAGGTCACGTGCAGAGCAGCACGGTGCAGGGCAGAGTAATGGGAAGTAGAACCCTAAGAGAAGCAGGGTGGGCCGGAAGTGGTCCTGAGAGCTCACCCTCAGACCAGGCTCTGGGAGAAGTGAGGGAGTCCCAGCTTCCTTCCCAGCCTCAGTTTCCTCCCTGGATGAGGAAGCAGAGAAAAGTGTGCGTCAGAAGAGACCAGCCCTGGCCATGAGGAACCCCCCCTGGGGGGGGGGCACAGTAAGAAAATGCAGGTGGAGGGGCTGGGGTGCTGCGGGCTGGGCGTAAGGATGACACCTTCCCGCTGCTGTGGGCAGTGGCCCAGGTGCGCGAGCTGCTGCCCGGCCTGGGACCAGGACGTCGCTCGCGGTCACCGAATCTGTGCATCCGCAGGAGAGAAGCCCTTCATCTGCGAGATCTGCGGCAAGAGCTTCACCAGCCGGCCCAACATGAAGCGGCACCGGCGCACGCACACCGGCGAGAAGCCCTACCCGTGCGACGTGTGCGGCCAGCGCTTCCGCTTCTCCAACATGCTCAAGGCGCACAAGGAGAAGTGCTTCCGCGTGACCAGCCCGGTGACTGCGCCCCTGACGCCCGCACCCGCACCAGCCCCGCCCGCCACCTCCCCGGCCGCGCCAGTCCCAGTGCCCATCCCCGTCCCCGCGGCCGTGAGTGCGCCCGCCACCCCGGCCGCGCCCGGCAGCCTGAGCCCGGTGAGCGCGCTCCCGCCGCGGCCCGTCCCGCACCCCTTCTCGCACCTGCACCTCCACGCGCACCCGCACCACCCGCACCACTTGCCCATCCCTCCAGTGCCACACCTGCCCCCACCGCCCGCGCTCTTCAAGAGCGAGCCCCTGAACCACCGTGGCCAGGGCCAGAGCGAGGACAGCTTTCTGCGGCACCTGGCTGAGAAAGGCGGCACCACCCCGCATCACTAGCCCGGGCTGGCCGCGGCCGCCGGCGCAGCCGGTCTGCGGGGCAGCAGACGGAGCGCAGGGCCTAGGCCAGGGCCATACGGAAACCAGGGGAACCACCGAACTGAAGCCCAGTGTGCTTGCATTTTCTGATGACTTTTATACATTTCCAGCACCCAGCTCGCGGACTGTGTAATCCGGCATCAGCGGACGAGGTATGCTTGCTTTGTGCCCTGGACTTCTCTTTGAAGAGGGGCCGCCGGCCGCCCGTCGCGCTAGCCGGGAAGCCACTCGACCCCTCCAGCATTAATCTGAGCATCACTGTGTGGCTGGGAGCCGCGGCCGCGGGGTGTCCGGCGTTCCAGGAAAAGACCCAAATCTTTTTCTTTATGTAGCTCTCCTAACGCACTCTTTATTTTACTACAGAAATTATTTTAGAGTTTTTGTATAGAATTCTTAGTAGTCTGTTTCTAAAATGAAATGTATTTCAATAAGCAGTGTAATTTTTCAGTGTAGCTGAACCTATGTTGTAAAATAGAAAAAATTTTTATAATCATCAAAATGTGATTCTTAAAGATGCATATAACTTCTATAATTCAAAGTTATTCTTACACCCGTACCACTCAAAGGTGCTTTAGAGGCTGGCTGTGTCAGAGGGGCCGGAGCGCGGGCGACCATCGGGCTTCCTGGCACGCACCCACCTGGCGTCCTCGGGAGACAGTGGTGGGGTGAGGGGCTTTCTCTGAGGCACCCCTGCCTTGGGGCTGCCCTGCCCTGGAGACATGGTGGTGATGTGTGTGGTGGGGAACTTGGTGGCAGGAACGGTTTCTCAGTCACGTGGGCCTCCCTCCCTGTAGGAACGCGCTGCCTTTAACTATTCTGGGAAGCAAACAGGACTCTGGCCTTTTGGAGGTTGCTTTATTTTTCTACAATTGTAATGAAAAGCAAAACCAGTAAACCACAGTCTCAAGCCTGATTTGCTGGTAGTGGCTAAGAAATTTGGATGGGAAGACAGACTGGGTATGAGTTTGGAAATGTCCAGTGACCACAACACTGAGCAGTTTCAGCACAGTTTGAATTGTAAGCGGGGACACCCCGAAAGTCTTGCTGTGCTGTGGGTGACCGGGTGACCGTGCCCGGCCGGCAGCCTTAGCTCAGAGGAGAGCAGCCCTGCGGAGCCCCGGGGCGCAGGGACAGTGACCACACTCACCCAGGCTCGGTGTCCCGAGACTCCTCGTGCATCTCAGAGAATGGGGTTCCCAGGGTGGTTCCTCCTGCCTCGCTGCCCTCCCCACTTTACACCTTGCAGTCCCTTCACCCTGCCCTTGGATCATCGCCTGGCTCTTATTTATTTTATCTTTTAATATTTCAGCAGTCAAGCACTTTCCCAGCTGATACCTCTGTAGCAGGGAAAAATGGAACTCTCCATGCAGCTTAGGTCTCTATTTTTATACCTTCTATTAGCTTTTGGGTTAATGATTCCAAATTTTCTCCTTCTGATTTTGCCTTTGTCTTCTGTAATACATAGGAAAATGTTGCAGGAGACAGAAAAGTATCTCAAGGCATACTTTCCTTCCTGTTTTCGGGTGTAAGTTTTAAAAAATAGTATTTTTAATATTTGTATACATTATTTGAGCCCATGGGCACCCCAGCAGAGAAGGAAGTAAATTCCTTGCTGTGACTGTTATAATTTAGTAGCTGTCCCTGCTCCCACCACCATCTCTCCTTCCTCCCAGGATGAGTCTGTAAAGCCACTTTGTGTAGACATAGCATTATTCTGTGGTCAGGGCTATGTTACTAAAGCAGTTCTTAAAAAGATACACGTTATAGCTTAGTTCATGGGTTATACTTTATTTGTTCTAAATAAATTTACAGCATGGGGCAGCAATTTTGAATTCTAGACTTGGGATCTTTGAATCAGCCATTTCACAAGGTGTGAACTGTGATTATACCCTGGAAAATTCAGGCGGTTGTCTTTGATTTTTCAGTCAAGTAACTATAACCCTAGGAAACCACAGGAAAACCAGTAGTAAGCAAATTACCATCACCCCCCTTCCCAGGAGCAAAAAAAAATTAGTGCAATTCACAGTGAAATGAAGTGTGGAACAATCTGGAAACTTCCAAGGGTCTCTTTCCTGGCTAATGAGGTGTGATCTGTGGTGCTTAGGGTGACGCCTTGTCAGCATCACGTGGTACACGAATAGCGACCTGCACATAGGGAATCCTGACGCTGCTATCCCCCAATAGCAGGCTGCAGGTGAAGCAGGCAAAGGCTCAGACTCAGGGTGAGAAGCGGGGTCCTCTGCGAAAGTCAGGTTGCATTGTTCCCTGTGCTCCCCATACCTGCTGCAGGCCCGGGAGCTCCTAGGAGCCTGTTACCCGTGCCCTGAGGAAGTCTCAGGGAGCTGGGGTTCTCAGCCCCTCTCTGGCTGTGCTTTTTAAAGACACACAGGCGAGGCTGTGTCTCCTGCCTGCATTTCACATCGCCTTCAAGGCTCGTATTGTTACAAGGGTAGCAGATATGAGGACCATTCCCCAGGCGCTTTTCTGAGGTGCCATTGTGTTTCTAGTGGTTGGTTGGGTTTTGCATTTTCTATCCTTTTTTTCATAGATTCATCATTCAAATATAAACTCTTGGGTTTTGTTTTTGGGGTTTTTTTGAGGGGGATTGTCTTTAAAAAGGCTGCTGCCCCTGTAATCCCAGCATTTGGGCGGGAGGTTGAGGTGGGAGGATCACTGTGAATTCAAGGCCAGCCGGGGCTACAAAGACCCTGCCTCAACGTGCCACACCCCCAAAAAATCTGCTGATTCCTCAAATTGAGTCAGGAAGGCTCATCCTGAAGTCTTAAAATCTGAACAACAAAGACTATCAGTTCAAAGCACGGGGCTTCATTTCTACCCATACTGATGGTTTCACGCTTGTGTTTAGCACATGGGGATTCTCCAAGTACAACCTGACTGCAGTTCCAGGAAACCTTTCAGATCCCTTCACAGACTCTCCTGGTTCACCACGAAGTCCTAGGTCAGGGTCCGAGTGTGGAGTCTGCCACAGCTGTTCTTTGCCCAGGACCACACTTGTTGGGCGCCCCTTGTTGTCTGCGCCCCTAGAATCTGTCCCTACCGTACTGCAGGCAAAATGCTCCTAAGAGACACCGATAAAATTTTTTGACATTTTTCATTTTTGTTGAATGGATAGTATGGTTTCATTTTGGTTTTACTGGCAGCTTTTTGGTTGTTTTGCTTTTGGCTGGCAGTTTTTAAGTTTGGAGAATCCAAGGCAGAGACGGCAGTGCATGGCAGGCGTGTGCGTGTGCTTACCCCACCGTGGGTATTTCCTCTAATAAGACAGCGTGCTACGGGGGTTTTATGTTTTTAAAAAAGCAGACCTAGAAAAGAGAGAAATGCTTTAATTTGAGCCACTGTATGGAATCGGCAATGCTCACTGCCATGCTGGCCACATGACGAATATTTCGGTGCTGCTCCCCACCGCTGAGAGTGTTTAAGGAGACAGCTCGGTCACCCCTCAGCTAACTACTTTTTAGAAAAATGGCTCACCTGGAATTCTTTACACTGTACCATCAGCTAGTACACACTTGAGTTTTAATTTTCCTTTGCCTAAACCAAGACAGGAAGTTTCCTTTTTCTTTTTCACCCAAGAATGGACGGTCATAGCCATTAGCGCAAGTGGCGTAATTATGCAAAACAGCTTCCGGCCGACTTGCTCGCGTCTTCCGTGTGTTCACCGGAAACCGGACCTGCGGCCCGGACACTACCTCGACACAGCCAGCCAGAGACCCCGCCTCCCCTTCCCACGGAAGCCATAGGGCTGCCATGCGGTGGATCCCTGTCCGGGCGATGTGTGGACTCGATGAGCAGTCTTTATGGCCTAGGGTTTGCAGGATTCAAAGGAAACCGGCGCTCCCAGTTGCCCAGCCTTGACGCTTTAGCTCCAGTAAATTGGTCTGGAGAAACAGATGACAAACTGCGGATCCAGCGCGTAAGGAAGTCAGAGCTGCCTGCAGAGCTGCACCCCAGGAGGCAGGCTTCTCTCTGTCCCTGTCTAGCGGCTGCAGGTGTGAGCAGTGACCCGTGACGTGGGTTCTGTCCCTCGCTAACCGAGCTGGACCCGCTGTCTTCGCAGTGTCCTCAGAATGGTTTTCATGTCTTGAGTCCGGCGCTAGCCTCCCCCCGCTGCCGCCCTCCTGAGTGCCTTTAAAACGCCGCCGGACCCTGGCACCGCCGCCCGCGCGATCCTACCTCTGCCGACCTCCCGGCGGCGCCGCGACCGCCTTTCCCCTGAGTGGCCGGGCCGCGCGGGCCGGCTCCGGCTTCCTCCTCCGGCCGCGCGGGTCGCCTGCCTCATAGGCGCGTCGCGCCGTCGCCGTTGGTGCTGGGAACGCGTTCCGCGGGACTCACCCGCACTTTTGCCAGCAGAGGGCGCTGCTGTCCCTCCAGCACCATGGTCTCCCCGCGTCTTCCTGAGCGTTAGCGTCCCTGCCCACGCAGGGACCTGGGTGCTGCCGCAGCCCCTTGTCCTCTGGCTTCCCTAGCCCTTTGCAAATCGACCCCGGACTTCGTTGGAGTCAGATGAAGTTAAAAGGGCTCCCCGGGTTTGACCGGTCCTTCACTGACTTCTAGTCTGCCCCTCCTCCCCCCACCCTCCAAACCCTGTATCTCTCCCATTTGTTCCCATCTGTACATTTTACAAGTATGATTGCTGCACAGTAGATGAAGGATGTGATAAAAAGAGGGTGAAGCTTATTCTGCATGTGATACGAGCATCTCACGGGTCAGCTCGTCTTAGCAATGGGCCGTCTCACAGCCAGGCCCACAGCTTCTGTAATGCCAGATCTCTTCAGGAGTCAAAACGAAGGGCTCCTCCAAATGAGGACACGGGGTTCCGGTTTTTTGTTTTGTTGGGTTTTGGTTTTGGTTTTTTTTGGGGGGGGGGGGGATGAAAGCTATCAAATATTTTAGACTTAGTCAAAATCTTTGCTTCCTGACCTAAAATCTCACGCCTGTTTCCTTAAAGCGATCAGTACTCAGGCAGCAGTTAGAGAAACCTCCCTTCTGGCTGTCGGCAGTCACCGCCTCTGTCTGTCTGTCTGTCGGTAGGACAGGGCAACCACCCGACAGGGCGACCGTGTAGGTGTCAGTCGTGTTTATTAACACTAAGTGTAAGACACTGGCTTCGTGGAGCAAGGACCCGAGGACAGAGTGCAAGAGACAGATCTGGGTCGCAGAGAGCAGCTGCAGGGGCCTTCACCTCTGTCCTGGGTCATTTTCCGTTTGCGCGCCCAGTCCCCCGCCGAGGACCTGGACGTTTGCACAGCGACCCCGAGTTCGCTTTCCAGTGCGCGCTTCTGGTCCCAGCACAGGGCCTCCCGCCTGTCTCGGAGGCAGAGGGGCCGCAGCTCCTAGCGCCCCGTCACAGCCTGCTCCGCGCCTCTGCTGAGACTGGGCTGCTGCACAAACGGCCGGGGTGTGAGGGCACGGGAGCCGGGCTTCGTGAACCCTCCAGGGGGCGCGTTGCTCAGGACTGGGAGGCCACTCAGGCCAGAGGTGTTTGAGGAACGTGGCGCCCCCTCTGCCCATCTTTACAAGCGACTGGAAGGACAGAGGTCCCAGCCCACATCCCGCATAGGACTGGAGACCGCACCCCGCTACACGTGAAAGCTGGCAGGAAGGATTTGAGGGTCCCGGGGCTGCCAACCCTTCCTCCTCCCAGTCTTTCCATGCTTGATTCCTTGCCTCATTGGTCTGAAAAGAAAGCGGCAGTATGGCACAATTTCTGTGTTTACTTTTCAAGTTTTATTCTCAAGGCTGTAGATCCGGCGTCGCAGTCTCCCCTAAACCTGCAGACGCAGCTCGCTCTTCCCGCCCCAGCCGCTTCTGTCCCATGTGCAGTACCGGCCTCATCCACCAGGCGGCAGTAAAGCACTTCGGCGTCTTCACTGCTGGCGTCTTTCGGGTCTGCGGTCCCGCCCGCCCGGCTCTGGCTCCCTGCATGCACCTGGGAGGTCAGAGGCATTGCCCTTCTTCCTCAGTCCAGCGGGCGCTCAGCCTCGTGACCCGACCGAGAGCGGCTTGCGGTGTGGGCCTCTGAGCACTGTCCCAAGGCCGGGTTGGCGACCCCTCCTTGCTTGCGTCCCCGTCTTGCACCCTCTGACCCTCGGGCACCACCCGTCTTGTGCTTGTGCTGGTTGTAACATCTTCCGGGTGAGCAGGTCGGTCAGCAGCGAAGGGGAAGCCCGGGCCATGACCCCTCACCCTGTACCGGAACCGCAGGAGCCCCCGAGCCCGGTTCTGCCTGGCCTCAGCTGGGCAGAACTGCAAAGGGAGGCGCAGGCCGGCCAGGTGCCGCCCGCTGGTCCTGAGCGTTGTTTTCCTCCAAAGTCACTTGCACTTTTCCTCATTTCTTAAAGAAAAGAAAATCCAGTTTGCTGGGCCAGAAAACTGTTTAGCGTCAGGTTTACAAAGCTCGCAGTTGAATGTCCACCGATTGTCCAAAGGGGTTTGCCCACACAGAAGCTGCTTGGTCCTGTCCTGCCTGCTGGGTCAGAAGGGTGAAGGCCGCGTGGCTGGGCTGCTGTGTAGTCAGCGTGGCCGCGACCTCTCCTACCTCTGCGGAGACGCAGCCTGAAGTCAGCCGGGCCAGGCCAGGCCGCCTCCGTGTGCCCGGTGGGGGCGCTGAGGGTCCCCACTGGCCCCTGCTGGCTCCCCTCTGCCTGCCCCCTCCTCTGTGTCCCCACCCCCAGTGTACTGGTTTCCCTTTTAATTACACCAAGACTTTTTTTTTTTAGCAATTGAAATGCACTTTTTAAAAATTTCAACTCAATCATGATTTTAAGTATAAAAATTTTATAATTGTTAAAACGACTTTTTGTGTATTTTTAACCACTCAATGTAGCATTGTGTATTTTATTCCTGTGAGACTCTGGTACGAGGTGGGCCGCTTCGTGAACTTCTGAGATGCTGGGCCTTGGATGTGTACGGTAACCAACCCAATGCTAACGTTCGAAGTAAAGAGAAAAGGAACAACACAGCCGTGGCCTGGTGTCTTTCTTTGTTTCTAACGCAGCCTCGCTCAGCAAGGTTTGAGGCCCCTGCTTAACGCACCGCTGTGGGCCCGCAGTGTTACTGGGGCATCGGTGACGGCCCCAGCCACTGTCCCTGCAGGAGAGGCGCGGCACAGGCAGGCCATGTCGGGGCGCAGGCTGGCTGAGCTCTTGCACGGACACTCAACAAGCGTGTGGAGGAAGCAGTTTGAAAAACAAAGCACAGATTCAAATAGTCTCTGAAGTCCAGTGAGTGAGAGGGAAGGACCGGGAAACCCAGCCCGTGAGGGGCTGCACTGCCTCGGCTTCCCTGCTCCGCCCCCCACACACCAAGTCACAGGGGCATGCGGCACTCAGAAGAGCATGCAGCAGAGGCCCGCGCTCCCGGGCCTCTCCAGGGAGGAAGGCGCAGGAGACGGCTGTGGTGCGACCCTCAGAGACCGTGTCCCCGGGCCACCTCCTTTGTCCTCTCTAAGGACTCTGGTGAGGGAGCCCAGCACTCACCGGTCAGGTTTCCCAGTGCTGGACGCCTCTCAGAATGACACACAAAGCTGCAGCCAGGTCGGAAAGCACCACTTGGATTCTCCGAGCAGGACAGACTTCATTCTGTCTCCTTTTTTGACGGGGGCGAGCGGTGAGTGCTGCTTTATGGTCAGACAGGGGAGCTGTGCTGTGGGCTGTGTGCCCAGCCCTTTTTAGCTACTTATGCTATGTGGGTTTTTGGTAGGACTTGAACTCAGGACCTCATACTTGCCAGGCAGGCACTTGTGCCACTGAACTGTATCCCCAGCCCACTATTTATTCTCCTTTATTGTGGCAGGAGGGAGCAAACTTAGGGGCGCTCTGTCGTTGAGCTATTCCGTCAGCCCTTTTTAATTTTCACTTTTGAAACAGAGTTATGCTAAGCTGCCCAGGCTGGCCTCAGATTTGTGATCCTCCCACCTCAGCCTCTCCAATAGCAAAGATCACAGGTGTAAATAAGTCACTGCCCAGCCTAGAGCCGTTAACACATTCTACAGAGCACATGGCCACCGCTACCTCTCCATTTTGCCCATGACTTTAGTAAGAAATACTTTAGGGCTGGGGACTTAGCTCAGTGGCATAAGTGCCTGCCTCGTAAAGCAGGCAGTTGTGAGTTCGATCCCCAGTACCGATAAAAAGGAAAAAGACCAAAAAAAAAAAAAAAAAAAAAAAAAAAAAAGTATTTTGCAGGGGCTGGAGATTTAGCTCAGCAGCATAAGCACCTGCCTTGCAAGCAGGCGGTCGTGAGTTCAATCCCTAGTACCGATTAAAAAAAAATTTTTGCTACCCAGTATAATGTCCATGGGTTCATGTACAGGAAGGCCACTGCGTGCCGGTCTCACCAGCTGTACACAGTACTACGGGTTCATGTTTCTAGCAGGGGAGGCTGAGGCAGGAGGGTCCTCATAAGTTCAAGGGCAGCCTGGGCTACATAGCAAGACCCAGGCTGAGCCTGAGTTTGCAGTTCTGCTTCAGCTGCCCAGAGTGCCGGGGATTCAGACATGAGCCACCCGGCAGGTATCCGGACAGGCAGCTTCCGGCAACAGATTCCTCAGGGCCCCCTCCTGGTGGCACGTCCCTTGTGTGACCCTTGCCTTGTGCTGGGCTTAGTGACTTGCTTCTGACAGACACCATGGCCAGAGTGATGGATGCCACTGGTACACTAAGTTACGTGGCCCCAGTCACCAGTGGCTGTGGCCAGGAGACGCAGGCAGCCACGGAGGCCACACTACAGAACCGGGTGAATGAGTGAGCTGGGCAGTGGCCCCTGGCCTGGAGCAGGCACAGGTGCCAGGTGGATGTGGATGCTACTGCCACCACGGAGCAGGGGCTGCTCCTGCCCAGAGACGACAAGCCACGTGGTGGGGAGTGTGTGCTTGGGGACAGCAAATAAGTGAGTAGACATAAAGACTCTGAGGAGGTGGGAGAGACACGGATCCTGGGGCCGCTTGATGAAGCGGGATAAAGGGCGCGGTGGTGCAATCCTGTAACCTCTGCGCTCAGCAGGCTGAGGCAGGAGGACTGCTGGGAAAGCAACACCAACCCAGACTAACCAGACCCCATCTCAGTGAAACCAAAGAGATTCATCAGCCGGGAGGTGCACATCTGCCACCCCAGCACTCGGGGGCTGAGGCAGGAGGATTGCTACCAGTTTAAGGCCCGCCTGAACCACATAGCAAGACCATCTCAGAAAAACAAAAAACACAACAAAAAGATAAATCCCTGGCGGGAGGCTGGAATTCCCAGCTGAAATTGCAGAAAAAGACCAAGCAAGCAGGCCATCAGAATTCTTGCATAATTGAGGGCAGAGGGTGGCCCTGAGCCAGTTGGGTTCAAGCTGGAGTAGGGGCTGGAGCGTGGTCAGCTGACCCACAGAGCCGAGGTGGCGGCAGCTCTGTGGGTCCCTGCAGCTCCCGGGGGGTTCAAGTCGACTTCTGCCAAGCCAAGCAGTTGCCGGCTCGGTGAAAGCTGCCGCACCGTGTCGTGGCCTCTTGGCTAAGGTGGACTGATTAGCAGGGCCTCAGCCTCAGTGCGCGGCTGTGGGGCCTTTGGCTCGGTGACTCTCTTTCCCATGTGTGTCCAGGACAGTCATTCACCTTCAGTGCAGAAATGCATACAATTTCAGAGTTAGGCGTCGCCCACCAACACACACCTGCTTGTACTTCCTCCCACCTCAGGATAATCCAGTCCTAAAGCTCCTGGAGCTAGATGTGGTGACACAGCCCGTGATTCTAGTGCTCAAGAGGCTGAGGCAGGAGGATCCCGGTGACTTCGGGGTCAACCTGGGCTACACAGCGAGTTCAAGGGCAGCCTTGGCTATGTAGCCAGAGCTTGTCTCAGAACAAGAGCCCCAAGGAAGCGGCACAGAATTCACTCTCAGCCCTGTCACCCACTACCCCTGCTGGGATCCCTGTGCTTCACTCCCAGGGGTGACACCACCCAGGAGGTGGCCATCCTTAAACCATGCGGTCGGCCCAGGAGGCCCTCTTGGTCCTACTCAGGGTCGTCCAGGAGACCAGCAGGAGGAACAGAGCTTGGCAGCCATCTGGAGTCCCCACACGTGGGAGAGAGAGCCTAGGGGCACCCCAACCACACACAGTGGGGAGGGGCTCGCTGCTGGCTGGGCTGGGACCGTGGAGGGGGTGCAGGATGTGACCATGGTCGGACCTGGGTCACCTGTCATCCTTCCACGCTGTCCCCCCACAGGGACATGGGGGGTGGGGATTGCATGCGGCTCTGTCCTCTGAAACTGCACTGGATGTCAGGTGTCCTGAGGGCAGCAATTTAATCTACCATCTTATTTAATTATTCATTTGGGGAGGGACCACTGGGCCCAGGGCCTTCCTGCCACTTCATCCACGCCCAGCCATTTTACTTCTCACCTTGAGGCAGGGTCTTGCCAAGCCACTCAATTGCTCAGGTTGGGTTTCAATTTATAAACATCCTGCCTCAGCCTCCCGAATGCTGGGCTGACAGGCCTGCACCCCGGCACCAGCTGGCCTTCTGTGCCAGGGGAAGCTCTAGGCATCGGCATGTGGGAGCTGGCTCCCGTGGCGAGCGTCTCCAGCTGCAGATGGAGCCAGAGCGCTCCCCTGCATGACCTGGGCCGCCTGCCGCCTGCCACCAGGGCTTAGAACCCTAGACCCCATATGCCAGTGTCCGTGGCCACCCCTCTGGACACACCCTGCCTCTTCTGTTGCTGGTGTCGCTGCCAGCACTGCACTGTGCTCTGGAACTAAGCCCCACCCCGGGTAGTGTTACTGACAAAGTGTAGACTTAGCAGGGCGCAGTGGTGCATGCCTGGCTTCCCAGCATCCAAGAGGCTGAAGCAGGAGGATTGCTGTGAGGCTGCGACCAGCTTCAACTACATTACCAGACCGCAGCTCTAAAAACCAAAAGCTCAAGAAAGGAAAAAAAAAATAAAAAGACCCAGAATGCAGGCAGCTTGGGTTAGCAAACAGCATCCCGACAATCTCAGACCACAAAATAGCTCCATGGAAAACTACAAAATTAGAACTTCAAACACCAGCTAGTTACAAATTAGGGCTCCTCTATTTACCTTCCCACCCTCGGGGCTGCTCGGAGAATGAGCAGAATTATTCCCTCTGGTTGGCGACGGCACCCCTTGCTATGTTTGGGTTGAGTCTGCTGAGATCCAAACCCACCGTCCTGAGGGAACAGGGCCCTCTCAGAGGAGGTGGCTTTTTCCACCTCTTTGGGATCCAGGTCTCTGGACCCCGCTGGAGGTCAGGGCTCAGGAAACAGCACCGAGGGGGAAAGCGCTGCCCTCCAAGCCCAAGCACGGATAGGGGGAGCCCTACAAATGGCAGCAATTTAGCCAGGCACAGTGGCACATGCCTGTCATGCCAGCACTAGGGAGGCTGAGGCAGGAGGGTTGCCATGAGTTCCAGGCCAGCTGGGGCTACATGGTGAGACTTTGTCTCAAAATAAGCTAATTATTAAACATGAGGGAAGCAATATAAGAAGGGACCCAAGGGAGAGCAGGAGTCCCAGCCTGTGTTTATCAGACACACAGCCACCCGCCTCCCTCCCTGTGTCCACTCACCCCCTCGGATGGCAGAGCCTGGGGAGTTGGGGCTGCTCTCCCCTGGTCGTGGGGAAGCCACGCAGAGCCAGAAGTTCGTCCAGGCCCACACTGGACAGAAAATGGAAACTCTGCTCCCTACCAGGCCGGGCAGGAAGACCGACCACTTAGGCCTGGTTTCCACCAGCTCAGCCAGGCCTGGAGGCCTCAGGTGTCTGGGTGGCTGCCACCTCCCAGTCTGCACTCACCCTCCTGCAGGTCTGGGCTCAAGCCGGACGTGGTGGCTCACACTTGTGATCCAAGCCCTGGGGAGGCTGAAGCAGGAAGATCACTGTGAGTTCAAAATCAGACTGTCTCAAAAACACCAAAAAATCAAAAGCATGACGGAGTTAACGAGGACCTGAGGTGAACTCGCTTGGTCACATACATATGGAGGACAAGCCGGGCTGGCCGCTGGTGTCACAGTTGGTCCTGGGGTCACCCTGACCAGCCTGGGGTTGGAGGTTAGCTGCCACAGGACCACTGTGGGGGTATTTGGGGAGAGGTCAGGTGAGGGGTCCCCTGGAGGGCCCCAAACGATGAGGGAGACCCAAAGCAAACCAGGTCGGAACCTGCAGGGACCCAGATGGTGACTTTGGGCAGGGTGGTGCCAGGAGATATATTTTGCCAAAGAAAACACCTCGGGGCGGCCCGCCCTGCCCTTCAGAAACCCTGGAGTTTGGGGGTGGGGGCAGCTACAGACTGGTGTCCCTGAGTGGGACAGTGTGACTTACTGCAGCAGGCACAGGGGAAAGCTAAGAAGTGATGACAGGTAAATCCAGGACCCGCTGCGGAGCTGTCTGGGCAGATCGAAGGACCTGGGCCACCCTGTCCCCTGCCCCTGCTCCCAGCTCCTGGGGTTGTTTCAAACCTCTTTGCTTTTTCAGTTCTGGGGATCGAACCCCAGCCCTTCACACTGAGCTACATCCCGGCCTTTTTTTATTTTTAATTTGAGCCAGGGTCTTGCTGTGTTGCCCAGGGTGGGCACGAACTTGCATCCTCCTGCCTCAGCCTCCCGAGCGCTGGGATGACAGGCAAGCCCACCGCAGCCATCGAGGGTCATGTTTTGGGGGTGCCTCCTGCTGTGGCACTGCCAGAGGGGAGGAGGAGACCCACTCTGCCTCCAGGGCACAGGCAGCAGCCCCTCCACCCTTGCGTTTCAGGGTTGGGGCAGTGAGGAGATGACGGAGCAGAAAGCTGACCCTAAGGCGCAGAGATGTACCTCATGAGACCCTGTCTCAAAATAAAAGGAGCTGGGCCGGGCCTGAGAGGCCCCAAGACCGCCCAGCTCTGCAGTGCCCTGAAAAAAGGGCAGCCCGGAAGAGCAGGGTCACACCAGGCCTCGCATCTCTGTCCCTTCAGCCAGGGCAGAACATGCCACGCTGTGCCCGCGATGGCACCCCGGGTGGGGCCCCAGCCTGGAGACAGCTTTTAGAAACCTTTCATTTTTCTGGCATTCCCTGCTTTAGCCAAACCACTCTTGGCAAGAATCGGGGTGTCCTCAGCCGTGGGGCAGAACTGATTTAATTGGAGGTGACAGTGGAGAGAGGAGAGAGGCCCAGGGACAGGCACAGGAAAGGAGGTCACCAGGCCCGGCCCAGCCTCGATTTCCCTCTCTCCTCCTTTCTTGTGTTTGTTTTTGAGACAGGGTCTCGCCACAGAATCCAGGGTGGCACTGACCTCAGCACTAGTCCACGCTGGGCTGGAACATGTGATCCTCCTGCCTCAGCCTCCTGAATGCTGGGTCACAGGTGTGCACCACTATGCCTGGCTTGGCCTTGGCTTCCTCATTCATGAGTGGGTGGTCCCTGCCCCTGTCTGTGGGAAGACAGTGGTCCCAAGAGGTGGGGGAGCCCCACAGCCCTGACCTGGGAAAGCTCAGAGCCCAGAGTGGGTATAGAGCGGGGAGGGTACCTGCTGCTATCAGCATAGCCCCTCGGCCCACGGGGGTCCCCAAGTTACAAACCCTCAGTTCAGCGAGTGTCAGGAGCTACGAAGTTCAGGGGAGCTGGGCGTGGTGCACCCCTGCCCTCCCAGCACAGGTGGCTGAGGCAGGAGGATCGCTACGAAGTCAAGGTCAGCCTGGACTACAGAGAGAGACCCTGCCTCAGGGAGACACAAACACGAACCACAGAGACAGCATGTGCCCTACTATGGAAACCGCTGGGTGGTCTGGCTGCGGCTGTCCATGCACACATGCCCGCATACACACGGGTACACTCACACCCCGGGACAGCACAGCCCGAACATGGCCCCTCGGAGGCGAGGCAGGGTGGGCCGGGGTCAGGGGTGCTGAGTCCCTGCCTGGACCCACACATCCTTCCCAGGCTTGGCCCACAGCCGCAGGCAGTGACCCGGGCCACTGTGGGTGGTGGCCAGGAACTGGTTCCAGCGCTGGGCGGGGCAGGACAGCCAGGCATCTCTGCCTCGCCTCTACCCCTGTGTCGTCTCCTTTGATCCTCTGCCGCAGGGTGGCCGGGACCACGCCCAGCTTTACAGATGGCAAAGCCCAGGGGACAAAGGCCCAGGACAGCTCCCCCCTGCCTCAGCCAGCCCTGGCCGCCCTGCGGCACCACTAGCCCGTTTCTAGCAGCAGCCGCTTTCCAGACCTCAGGAATGTAGCCCAGGCAGGCCCTGAATACAGCGCTCCTCCTGCCTCAGCCTCCCTGGTGCTGATAGTTAACTTCTCTGATGAGAGGTTGTCAGTGAAGGGCGAAGGCACCTTTGCTGGTCTCCTTTCTGCCCACAAATTCCGAATAGCGACCAAAAAAAAGTAAGGAAAAACAGGCATCTTGGTGGCCCTGTGAAGGTCCCTCTGTGTCTCAGAGAGACTCACTCTGCTCCGAGGCTCACAGGTAGCCAGAGCAGTTGGTCGGTCCTGAAGTCAGGTCTGAATCTGATCTCTGCGCACCCAATGCCTCTGCCTACAGAAACTTCTAGAAGCCCGACTCTTCTCCGGCCTGTGCAGGCATCAAAAACAGTACCCCCCATTTACAGGCAATGAAATCAAAGCAGAGTCATGACTTAGCCAAGGGAACCCCACAGAATATGAGATGACAGGGGAAAGACTGCCTTCCCAGCCGCGAAAGGTGGTGCACGCCTGTACTGGGGAGGCTGAGGCAGGAGGATTGCCACAAATTCAAGACCAGCCTGAGCTATGTAATGAGACCATAAATCAATTTTTTTTTATCGGTACCTGGGATCAAACTCACGACTGCCTGCTTGCAAGGCAGGCGCTTATGCCGCTAGCTAACTCCCCAGGCCTGACCATAAATCAATTTAGGAAACAAAAAGCAGTAAAGTAACAGTGGGTGGTACGTGAGCCCTGCTGGAGCGGGGGCCGCCTCCGGGCTCAGCCCAGCCTCGTGACACTAACCGGCTTGAGGCCTTGCTCATCTTCAGGGGACATGGCCATCTGTCAAATCCTCCTCTCCCTAAGTGACAGCTTTATCCTCCAGAGCTCAGGCCACACAGGGGCCTCTGATGTCCCTCCACCCCGCCCTTCTTCAGAAGTGAAAGATCACTCGGGGTGGTGGTGCCTGCTGGAAAACTCAGCATTCAGGAGGCTGAGGCAGGAGGATGGCTGCAAGACTGTCTTTTAAAAAAAAATAGAGAACCCTGGTACTGATAAAAAGGAAAAAGACAAAATAAATAAATAAATAAATAACAGAAAAGAAGGAAGGATCACCCAGCCCTGTGTTTTAATTCGGCATCTGTCCTCCTGCGGCCTCTGTGAGTTTCCGCTTGCCTCCCCCATGGGACACAGCCCCCTGGGGACAGTATTTATTTTGTCCCCCTGGCTCCCGAGATAGCACAGGCCATGGGGACAGGCCTGAAGCCCTCTGATTCCTGATTCCCAGAAGGAGCCTCCTTCCTGGGAGGGACTAGGTCACCTGGTGTCACAGGTGGCCAGGGCTGGGGGCCATTTAAGCAGGCCAAAGTGCAAACCACACCACTGGGGCTCAGTGAGACAGTGCGGGAGCTGGGGAGGGGACTGATATGAGCCCCTCCCCCCACGGAGCCCCGCCCCCCAAGGGGAGGGTGTCCAGAAGACGCCAGGCCCCAGCCATGGAGAAAGGAGGCATCAGTCATCAAGACCAGGGTGTCCCCTCCTGACCTGGGACTCCAGAGAGCCCGGGCACTGTCCCTTCTTCCCAGGTGACTGGCTGGGCCCAGCCTCAATGGAAGCTCAGAGGACTGGTTTTCTGTGTTGTGGTTTTTTTTTTTGGTGACAGCATCTCACTATGTAGCTCAGACTGGCTTCAAACTCTCAGTGATCTTCCTGCCTCAGCCTCCTGAATGCTGGGACTATCCTATCCTAGACCTGTCCTCTATTGGGGACCCCTGCAGTGGGCCCCCATCTCCTTCCAGGCCCATGGCAGAGAAAAACAAAGCAAGAGAGAAAGCAGCAGAGCAGTGGAGCCAGGCACCCCGGAACCCACTGATTCGGGGAAACGCCGAGGGGTCTGCACCCACCACCCCCAGGGAGTCACCGGAAACCTCAAAAGGCCAATGCTCATAACCCAAGCCTACACCGCTCCCCACAGAAGTCTGTAAAGCAGCCATCGTGAACTTAGGGTCCCCAACAAGACCCTGCTCTAACAGTCCCCCACACCTGCACAGAGGGAGGGAGAGGGGAGGAGAGAACCGGCCGTGTCCCCTCCACACAGCTGCTTCCCACAGAGAACGTGACCACTGTCCACTCCAACATGGGCTACAACATCAATTTTTATCTTGTTTAGAAAGCAGAGGCAGGGGGTACCACTGTGATGTCCAGGCTAGTTGGACCCCAGATGAGACCCAGAGAAGAAAGAAAGAAACCCTCACAGAGTGTGCCAACCTGAGGGGGAAACTCAGTCTCCCCCAAAACTAAAAAAGGGGTTCATTGCTCGTCTCCATGGGGGACGCTGCGTGGGGAGCACACAGGTGAGCTGCGAAATCACTGCTCTGATCAACAGTTAGGTACTCTGGGTTGGGTGCAGTGGCGCAGGCCTGTCATCCCCACACCCCGGAGGCTGAGGCAGGAGGGTCACCATGAGCTTGAGGCCAGCCTGGGCTGTGTACTGAGGAGATTTCCAAACCAAAAAGCCCTGAGGTGCTGGGATGAGCCCTCTTCTACATACGAAGCCCTGGCCAGTACTGCACCTAACCCCATGGGATCCAGAGAGGCACTTACCGTGCCTCCACCCTGCAGCCTCGAGTCGGAGCTTGGTCCCTCCAGGTAGCCAGGTCACCGGATCCAAAGCTGTCCCCAGCGTGTCCTGCCATCTCTGTGTGCCAGCATGGCAGCTCTAGGAGGTCAGTCCAGGGCAAGAGGCATGGGTCCCTCTGACGGACGAGACCCCAAGAGCAGAAGGTCACTCCCAGACCAGACCTGGTGCCACAGGCCAGTGACCTGGGTCCTCGACTCGGCCACATGTCTGCCTGCACATGCTTGGCCCAGGGGCTCGGGTTCCAAGAGAACACATCTGACAGGGTACAGGGCAGCCTGGCCTCCGTGTCACTCCCCTGATCTTCAGAGCATCTCATGGTCTCAAACCCACTGTGCAGCCCAGGCTGGTCTGGAACTCAGAAGGATCCTCCTGCCTCAGCTTCCTGCAGTGCAGAGAGACAGGTGTGCGCCCACACCGGGGGTCACACTTTTCCTGTGAACTCTCTACGGGACCATGGGAGTCTCCTCTAGGGCCGGTAAGACTGCACCCCCGCCCTTTCCCATGCCTCACCTCCCCCTCCAGGTCACACGGGGCTGGCCTGTCCCTACTCCCGGCCACCCCCCAGTCCCACGTCAGTGCTGCCCAGCCACTGGGCCCAGGGATGGCATTCACAAGGCCGCCCTGTGGTCACCGGGCCTCCGCCTGCACCTGGCCGGCCGCCAGGGTGCCTGGGTCTGTCTGGGCCACCCAGACTCCCGAGCCGCAGGAGGAGCCCCGCCTGCACAGCGCTATCTGTGGCGCCCGCCCCGCCCCGCTCCGCCCCGCCTTTGCATAAACAGCTGAGCCACTCTGTTATCTTGGGCCTGGCTTTGGGAGCAGGCGTGGTCACCACCCCCGCCCCCCAGATACTGGACCTCAGCACCCCAAGATGCTGCCTCCAAAAGCATGAAAACAGGAATGCGGCAGAGTAGAGAAGCCCTGCCCACCACAGCCCAGGAAAGCAGCCTCAGGGCGGCCCACACTCCAGGAGTGTGTGTGTGTGTGTGTGTGTGTGTCGACAAAAGTTATGTTTCCAAAAAGCAAATTCGCTGGGCAGGGCAGCGCACACCTGTAATGCAGAACTTTGAAGGCTGAGGCAGGAGGATCGCCCAGCACCGTGGCCTTTACTTCTTGGCCTGGTGCTAGGCTGCAGGGGACACTCAGGCCACCTCGGAGGCTACCAGTCACCAGCCCAAACCTGTCACACAGCAGATGCTCAAGAAATAGGTGTCTGGGCACGGTGGTGCCCAGGCCTGGAATCCCAGCGCGCATATGAGCCTGCGTGTGTGCGTGTGCACATGTGTGGGTGTACCGGCATCACCAGAGCTTCCCCTCGGGCTGTGGTGCCCGGATGTTGCCTGCACTTCAGATTCTGGGATCACTTGGGCCAGAAACCGCAGCGTGCTGGGGCCTTCATCACCCAACCAGGTGGGGACGCTGGTGAGCACACAGGGCTGAGTTTGCACCCCCAGCAAGCGCCCAGTTGGTGAGGAAAGTCCTCTGAGAAAAAGGCATCTGAGTGACAGACCAGGGGCTCAACGGAGAGAGGGAGAGAGAGAAGGGAGGAGGAGGGAAGGCAGAAAAGACGTGCTTTTCCAGAACCTAGACTCAAGATGCTAGCAGGGGCCAGTTGAACCCGTGCACTCGGGAGGCAGAGGCAGGAGGACTGCCACCAGTTTGAGTTCAGCCTGGACTACAGAGTGCGAGGCCAGCCTCATCTACACAGCACATCTGAAAAGCAAACCAAACCAAACCAAACCAAAACAAAAACCAAAATGCCAACACAAGACCATGGGCTCCTTAAAGCCATGACTGGAACTGTGTCTCCTGAATAAATGAATGAACACATGACCAACCTCCAAAAGGCCCAGTGAAAGGTTCCTTGCCACTGGCTCGTCCTCTCCCACCGCCAAAAACCTGGCTGATGTCAAAGAGCCTGCGTTCTAGTGTCACCCTGGGTCTCTTGTGGGTGAGTGACCTTGCACCTGTCACTAATCCCAGGAAACCACCCCCATCTCAGCCTCCCTGTGTGGCCCAGGCTGGCCTGGAATGTGACGCAATCCTCCTGCCTCAGCCTCCCGAGAGCTGGGATGATGACAGCTGTGCACCACCACGCCTGGCTGGGAGAACTCTTGCTTTGGGTGGCTCTTATTCTAGTGGGTCCTGGAGATTAGCCTGTCCCGTGGGGCTCTGGTTCCCATCAACGGAGACCTCCAAGGGGGCGAGGATTCACGACAGGGTGGCTTCCTCAGCGGAAGGTGTGAAACCGCTGTGGCCAGCCCTGCTCTGTGGACACATCCGCAGTCGGTGGCTGTTACGACATCTGGGTGGTGGCACTGGCTCCCCTCATGCCAGCTCTGAGATGACGCCCCACACACCGACCAGAGCCCTGCTCTTCAAGTAACAAGGAGCTACTGAAACAGGCGTAGTGGCACAAGCTTGTGATCCCAGCACTTGGGAGGCTGAGGCAGGAGAATGGCCGTGAGCTGTCAAGATCCTGTCTCAAAACAAAAGAAACAAACCCTCAAACAAAAATTGAGACAGGCATGGTTGTGGACACCTATAATTCCAGCAGTCTGGGAGGCTGAGGCAGGAGGATCATTGTAAATTTGAAGCCAGCCTGGGCAAGATCATCTCAAAAAACAATAGATAAAATAATAAATAAATAAAGGGCTGGAGGTGGCCCAGTGCTGAGGCCCTGGGTTCCACCCCCAGTAGCACCAAGGGAAATAAAAAACAAGGCAACAGCAATAACCAAAGCCCTCTCAGGCTTAGCCAGTTAGGGGAACTGTGGAATCAGTTTGTGAGCAGCTGCTGGAGGCCAGTACACAGCCCAGGGCTGGAAATAAAAGCCCTGAGCCTGGGCACCTTCCCAGAGGAGCTGCGGATGGTCCCTGGAGGTCGGTAGAGCTGCAGAAGGCACCGAGGTCTCCGTTTGCCTCCTTTGAGAGGGCTGAGTGCCCGGCTCCATCCCGGCCCTGCCCCCACAATGCCCACACCAGGCTCCAGCTTGGGAACAGAAGCAGACGCTGTGTGGCACTGGCTGGCTCAGGGAGGAGCCTCCGAGACTCCCTCTTTGATCTCCACTAAATAACAGAGGATCCAGAAAACTGACAAAACCCTGTTGGGTGTGGTGGCACACATGACTGTAATCTCAGCATTTGGGAGGCAGAGGCAGGAGGGTCGCCAGTTCAAGGCCAACCTGGGCTACACAGCAAGACTTTGTCCCAAAACCTAAACTGAAAATAAATGAGACGGGAAGGCCAGAAGCCATCTGCCAGGGGCCCAGGTGAGTGTGTGCCCAGCAGTCATCCTAATGTGCACCTGAGCAGGCAGGCCACACGGCTGAACCCTGTGTCCTTCCCATCACCAGTGCACCTCCCGTGGTGACAGCAGTGCCACTGAGCATCAGAAGTAACGTTCCTGGATTTCTGGCTTCTTTGGCTCTGGCCCCGAAGCCGTGAGCTGGTAAGTCACCCTCGGTGGGAGCCAGGTGCACAGCCTGGCTCCAGGTCAGCTGAGTCAGAGTTCACTGGAACTTGAGCAAGCCCTGTCACTCCTGAGGACACTGTCCCTGCAAGTCCTGGGCTGGGTGCCCCGAGTCCGGAGGGGACAGTCATATACCACCGGCGGTCACCCCTCTGGAAACCTTCCCATCTTCGGGCCCCAGGAGGCTCGGCCAAGCTGCTTTCTGACTCAGGCCAGAGGGGAAAATGGGGAAAGCTGGAGGCAGAGCCGGGCAGGCTCGCTGACGCCTGCCCACCCGCCCGCTTGCCATCCCAGCACTGCAGAGGCTGAGGCAGGAGGATGGCCATGAGTTCAAGGCCAGTGAGTCCCCGACTCAAAAAACAAAAAACAAAAACTTCTAACATGGGGAGAAACAGAGAAATTCCAGGCTGCAGGATGTCATGTGCCGCCCTCCCCTGGCCACGGAGGCATTTGGAAACGGCTGCCCCTGCAGGACTCTTCAGCACTGTATGACCCGGGCAAGTAGCCCAGTCTCCTGGAGACTCCATTTCCTTCTCCTCAAGCCGGGGACAATACTGCAGCCGCCGGTTATTGTGAAGAAGAAGTAGTGAGGGTCACAGGAAGCACCAATCGGGGGCCAGGACAGAGCAGGCACTTGTCTCCCTCCACAACAAACATGGAGCCAGAACCAGGCGTGGTGGGTCATGTCTGGAACCCCAGCACTCAGGAGGCCAAGGCAGGAGCATCACTGAGTTCAAGGCCAGCCTGGGCTACGTAGCAAGACTCTCTCAAAAACAGAACAAAAACAGGGGCTGGGGATGTCGCTCAGAGGTAGAGTTCTTGCCTCGCACATACAATGCTCTGGATTTGAGCCCCAGCACCACAAAAACAAAACAGTTCATTGCTGCCAGTTATAATAAAATATAAGAACTACTTAGTCTTGGAAGAGACCAAGGTTCAGATCTTAAAGCAACAACAATAAAAACAAGTCAACAAAAAGCAACAATAAACACACCATGCTTCCTGTGTCCTGGGATCTATGCACTAAGTACAGGGAAAAGTTTAGGAAGGGCTGAATCAGGCCCAGCCCCAGGCTCAGGCCAGGGGCACTGCAGCCCCCCTCCCCCAGCCTACCCCAGTCTTCCTAACCCAATGGACTCAGATTTGAGGTCTTGTTAACAGGATCTCACTGTGTAGTGCGGATTGGTCTTAAACTCTGCAGCCCAGGGCAGCCTCGAATTTGCAGCATTCCTCCTGCCTCGGTCTCCCCAGTGCCTGGATGACAGGTGTACACCACCAGGCCCCGCAGGTCTGAACTCTTGGGGAAACCATCTCTCCTGGGCGTCCTGAACCTTCATCCAGAAGTGGACCCAAACCAGAGAAAAGTTCTCCTTGGATACAAAATGTCAAAGCGCGTGGTGAAACCCAAATTCCAACAGGGCTCACTGCGGCCCATGGCAACCCCCTGCCCACTCGGCCCACATTTCCACGCGTGGTCACCGCGGCCTCACTGTGGAACCCAGGCTGGCCTCAAACTCTCGGGAATCCTCCTGCCTCCTGGGATAATAGGAGTGCACCTCCCCGGGGGGAAGAGAAAGTGAGTTTTATTTACAACTCCGTTTGCTGGGAGGAGGGAGGTCCCCCAACTCTGCTCGCGGCGGAGGAAACGAGTCCGGAGTCACCCGTGGGCCGGGCTGGGGAAGCACCAGGGCTGCCGCGAATCCGCTTTTCCAGGCCGGGCCACCTGCGTCCTCCCCCGACTGGGCTCGAGCTGCTGCCAGGCAGATCCCTGCCAATTCCGTGGGGTGCGGCGGCGGGGACCGGGGCTCCCCCACCCACGCGCCCCGCCGAGCCAAAGCCGCCTTCGCACAGCTCCCGTGCTGGTGGCGGGGCGGGGCGTGGCCTGCAGACGCCCCGCCCCTCGAGAAGCGCCGGCGCCGCGCTGATTGGGCGGCCGCTTGTGACGTCGGGGACTGCGGCGGGCCCGGCTGCTGCAGCTGCCGCAGCGCTGGCCGCGGCTCGGGCTCCGGCTCCCGGGCATTTAAAGGGGACGCGGTGGCAGCGGCGGCCGGCGGCGGGAGCAGGGATGGGGGGCAAGTGGAGAGGACTGTCTAGACACACGTCACCCACAGTCCCTGGGGCCCAGAGGGTATCGTGAGCTGAAGCCCAGGAATCCGGGGGTGGCTAAAACATCGCGTCCCCCAATCCCGCAAGCACCCTTGCGCCCACAAACCCTAACTGCCCCCCAGTCCTTAGCCTCCCAGCTCAGCCGGGACGGACCCCACCACGCCGCCCCACGTGAGTCCAGGGCTCCAGAGTGGGGAGGGCTGGTCCCCGGGCGGGGTATGGGCCTGTGGGGTCCCTTGTGTCCTCTGTCCGGCACCTGGCGCCCCAGCTCGCAACACGCGGGGTCCCCAAGCTGCACCCCCCCCGCCCGCCTCGGGGCGCAGCTCCCTCCAGCTGGGGGTGTGCCAGGGGCCAGCTTTCCAGTCACCTAAAAATATCTCCCCACCCCTCCGCAGCTGCCACCTCCCTGCCCCGGACTCGGATCCTCTCTCAGCCTGGCCACCAAGGAGGGACAGCCCAGAGGTGTGTGACACTTGTGTCTCTGGACCCTTCACGTCCCAGATTCCTCCCTGGTACCAGAGCACGGATCATCGCCCCCGCTGCCAGGACAGCAAACTGTTAGCCTGGAGGAAACTCCGGGAACGAGAGGGCGCGCTCACGAGAGGGCGCGCTCAGGAGACCTCCGAGTGCGAACCCTGACTTTGGTGCTGTGCAACCCCCATGCCGTTAGCTTGGCCTCTCTGGGCCGCTGTCTCTCCTGTGTGCTGTACGGGTTTGGGGAACTAGAAGGTAGTGGAGTTGGAGATGCCCCCTAGTGTTTGGGGGTTCTTGTTTGTGATCTAGGGGAGGAGGACTTAGGACCGGTACTGCGGAGCCTGTGCCCCTCGTCCTGCACTAGGAAAACTGCCGGGAAAACTATCCTGGGGGCTCCACCCCCCACAAGCTGAGGAATCATGTGTTTCGGCCCTCCCCCACCTGGGGGAGGGGGAGGGGACAGGCGGGGCTGATCTCAGTTGGAACTAGAAAAGGACCCCTGGGATCACGGAAGCCTCACTCACTCTAGATCTTGCCTCTCCTGGCTCAGACCCTGGGGTGACCGCCAAAGAACTGGACAACGCAGGACAAAGCTCCAGGAGGTGAGTGATTCCCAGCCAGAAGCCACCAAACCAACCGGGATTTAACCAGCCAGATGTGGTACCTGGAGTCTCAGCTACTCTGGGAGGCCGAGGCAGGAGGAGCACAAATTTGAGCCCAGAGTGCTGGGTGTGTATCTCTGAGAAAGCACTTGCTTAGCCTGCCTGAAGCCCTGTTTCTGCTTCCTTTTTTGTCTTTGAGTTAGGGTCTCACTAGTGAGACTGGCCTTGAACTCACAGTAATACTCCTGCCTCAGCCTGAACAGCGCTGAGATTATAATGGGTGCCACAACACCTTGGCATCAAAGCCTGGGTTTGATAACCAAAGTTTCATGCAAATGTGAGCCCAATCTGGGCAAGTTAGTGGCTTACCCTGTCTCAGAGCAAAAAAAAAGAAAAGAAAAGGATTGGGGGCTGGGGGACATGCTTGTAATCCCAGCACTTGGGAGGCTGAGACAGGAAGATCCCTGAGACTTTGAGGTCAGCCTGTCCTGCATATCAAAACCCAAAACTGACTGGGGATGTAGCTCAGTGTGAAGTCCCTGAGTTCAGTTCCCCAAATGGAAAACAAAAGCAAACCCAGGAGAGCAAAGTGAGACCTTTTTTTCTGGTAGGCAAGCTGCTATAGATGTGGCTGCCTGTGTGTGACCCTGTGTCCCTGTGATCCCCTCTCTCTTTGCCTCTGCCAGGTCCCCTCCCCCCTGCTTTTGCCCTGGGTGTGCCCCCCAGCCCCACCCCGGCGACCTTTCTCCTTGGCCTCCTGGCAGGGCAGATAAGGCTAGTCCCGAGGAGTTGAGTCGAGGAGTCAGTCGGTCTGGCAGTGCTTCCACCCAGTTCGGACACAGCGGTCCTGTCCCCAGCTGCCATCCCTCTCTCCATTTGTCCTTTTTTTCTTTTTTGTCTTTTTTGAAACGGGTCTCGCTGTGCAGTTCAGGCTGGCCTTGAGCTCACTATGTGGCCCAGGCTGGTCTCGAAACGATCCTCCCACCTCAGCCTCCCGAGTGCTGGGATTACAGGCTGAGCCACCACTCCCAGCTCTCTCCATTTGTCCTTAACTTCAGCTCTGCCTCATCGTCTCGGGCTCCCTCTCCCAATTCCTAGACTAAAAGTTTTTTTTGGAAAAACCAAAGCCCACCTCCCGTTCCGGACAGGGTTCGGGCTTGTGCACAGTCAGGCAGCCTGTGGGGAGGGTGCTGACGATGTACCCTGATGGGCTGTCCAGTTGCCTCTTCCTGCGGCCCTGGCTCCGTGATGGCCTGGAGAGTGTCACCTTGGCACAGTCGGCGTTTACAGTGTCACCACCAGAGGGCAGCATCCAGCCAGACTGTTCCCACTCGAATCTGTGTCTGTCCTGTCTTCCCAGTTTTTTGTTTGTTTGTTTGTTTTTGTTTTTGTTTTTTGAGACAAGGACTCACTTTGTACCCTAGGCTGGCCTCGAACTTGTAGTGATCCTCCTGCCTCAGCCTCCAAGTGCTGGGGTTCCGGATGTGCTGGGATTAACAGGCAGGTGTGTGCCTAACGGGCTGAAAGCCCTGTTTTTAAGATGGCTTTGACCTTCTGCCAGGTCACTTAACCTGTCTGGGTCCCTATGGGCAAACTCTCCTGCGATGCCTGGGGACCGCAAGAGGATGCCAGCCAGGCCCCTTGTGGCCTGGGTGTGCTGCGTGTGTCACCTTAGGGCTGTTCATGCTGAGCCCCTGGGGAGGCAGGGCCAGGTGGGCCCTGGAGGTGGCAGGGCCGGGGAGGTGGCAGCAACACCAGCAGATTGGGAGACTCTGATAAGTGGACTTTCGTAGTCACCAGGAGCTGACAACTAGAAGACCGGAGTCCCTAGAGCTGGTGCCCAGCGTGACCCAGCAACCATGAGCGGGTGTCTTTCAGTCTCCAGCCTCCGATGCCTAACTAGGGTAAGTGGGGGCTCCAGGTGAGGCCCCTGTCCCCTCCTTTCCCCTGGCCCCTCTGCCCCCAGAAGCTCCCATCCCAGGTATAGGGTCCAACCCCGAGAGTCCCAGGGCAGCTGGGTGTCAGGATGGAGGTGAGTCTAGGGAGACAGTTCTGTTAGGGAGGCAGGGCCTGTTACTATCCCAGGGGTGTGGGCCACCAGGCTGCCTCCGGCCATGTTGGATCTGGTCCCCTGGTCCTCAGCAGGTGGTGAGCAAAGGTGATAGGAACATGGCTGCTGGGGGCTTTGCTGCCTTTCTCTGCCCAGCTCTTCCCCTGCCCCCCATCATCTCCCATGCTGTCCCCCCACCCCCGACCTCCTGCGACCTCTCTGGCCGAAGATCTCACTCCCCTCTCTGCTTCCTGTCCAGCGGTCTCCCCACGGCCCCCTAGCATGACTTCCTCCTCTCCTTCTCAGCCACCGCTGCCTTCTCTCCTCTGCCCTACCTGTCCCCCAGGTGTGCTGTGGCCTGGCGCGGGAGGCTCCCACCTCCCCCCGCTCTCCTGCTGCCCGCTTGCTTCGGACTCTGGCAGGACTCCCCCTTGCTCACCCGCTCCTCCTGGGGAACTGGCAAGTGATCCGGGGTGCGCTGTCAGCCCAGGGCCCTAAGGAGCCATGGAGAACCCCTGTCCCCCCACCCTAGGGCCCTGCCCAATGCCACAGAGCTGCAGCAGCTCTGAGAGCTGCCCAGTCACTCCTAGGGCTGAAGCCCAGCCCCAAGTCCTGGGGCCTTGGCTCTCCGGGCCTGGCCCAAATCCCACCCACTCTCGGGAACTGGCTGTCCTGGCCACACCCATGCAGGACACTGAGGAGCTGGGCTCAAAGCCCCTGAGCCCACGGGGATGGAAGGAGGACCCGGAGGCCCCAGAGGCCCCTCCAGCCAATAGATGTGCACTTTCCCAGCTCTGCTGCCTCAGGGGGCCCAGAGAGGGGTGCTCTCCCTGCCTTCTGCTCCCTGCCTACCAAGGGGGCCACGGGAAGACTCCAGATCCTGGGGCCCAGGTCACCCTTCCCTTGTTTGATGTTGACACTTAAATCCCCGTGGTCCCCAAACGGAGTGGCAGAAACTGGAGCCAAGAAGCCTTGCTGGGTTCCATCCCAGGGGGTCCCGGGCAGGGCGGTGACCGATCGGGGCAGGGCTGTGTGGGACCTGCAGGCCTGGGGGCGCGGGCACCCTGCTCCTGCTCACCCAGCCTTGGGTCCTCCTAGGTCTCCAATGTGCCAGCGCCCCTGGCGGCGGCCTGCTAACCAGCTCCTCCTCCTCCCGGGCCGGCTCGCGCCGCGCCCCCTCTCGCTTGTCCCCTTCTCCTCCTGTCCCCCCTGCTCCCAGGACGGCAGGATGGCCGCCCAGGGCGCGCCGCGCTTCCTCCTGACCTTCGACTTCGACGAGACCATCGTGGACGAGAACAGCGACGAGTCCATCGTGCGCGCCGCGCCGGGCCAGCAGCTGCCCGCCAGCCTGCGCGCCTCCTGCCGCGAGGGCTTCTACCACGAGTACATGCAGCGCGTGTTCCGCCACCTGGCCGAGCAGGGCGTGCGGCCGCGGGACCTGCGCGCCGTCTACGAGGCCATCCCGCTGGCGCCGGGCATGGGCGAGCTGCTGCAGTTCGTGGCCAGGCAGGGCCCCAGCCTGGAGGTCATCCTCATCTCCGACGCCAACACCTTCGGCGTGGAGAGCAGGCTGCGCGCCGCCGGCCACCTCGGCCTGTTCCGCCGCATCCTGAGCAACCCGTCAGCGCCCGACGCGCGGGGACAGCTGGCCCTGCGCCCCTTCCATGCGCACGGCTGCACGCGCTGCCCCGCCAACATGTGCAAGCACCGCGCGCTCGGCGACTACCTGCGGGAGCGCGCGCGCGACGGCGTCCACTTCGAGCACCTCTTCTACGTGGGCGATGGCGCCAACGACTTCTGCCCACTCGGGCTGCTGGCAGCCGGCGACGTGGCCTTCCCGCGCCGCGGGTACCCCATGCACCGGCTCATCCTGGAGGCGCAGAAGGCCGAGCCCAGCTCCTTCCGCGCGAGCGTGGTGCCCTGGGACTCAGGCTGCGACGTGCGCCAGCACCTGGAGCAGGTGCTCAAGGGGTGCTGAGCCGGCCGGGCAGGGGGGCCCCCCGAAGAACAGCAGAGACCCCCTCTCCTCTGTCCCCTTGCTCATCTGTGCCGCTGCGTCCCTCGGAGGGCGGGAAGCGGGTCTAGAGCCCTCGCTGTCTATGCAGTTACCCCAGCCCGGTTGCCTCGCCCTGTTCCATGCCAAATGGTTCTGGGATCTGGCTCCGGGAGAGGCATTTCCAAAGCACCTCGTTTTCTGAACTGAGAGAAGCGGGGAGAAGGGGCATCTCCTTCCTCATAGCTTAAACTGCCGGATCTGGAGGCGCATGCTTGTCGTTCCAGCATTCGGGAGGCTGAGGCAGGAGGATCTCTGAAAGCTCTAAACTGGCCTCAGCTGCAGGGCTTTCAGCTTTGACTGCTGCCTTGGGCTTCAAAGCCTCTCCGTCTTCTCTCAAGAGATCCTCAGGACCCCCAGTTCCTCGAAACCCCCTCCATCCTGCTTCAACCAACCCTGCACAATTTCTGTGCTTGCTATGCCTTCTTGCCTTCCGCCCCACCATCCCAGCCCAGCACCCGTGGGAGGAAATAAAGCCAGGAGACACCGTCGCCCCCTGGTGGTGGCACAAGGTAGTGCAAGGCCAGCCAGGGACCTCGGAGCCGGGGGGTCACCAAAGCCGCCCTCGACTCGTCCCACATGGAGCAGGAGCCACGCTTCCGAGCAGAGCCGGGAGCCCTGCCCGCAGAGTCTGAGCTATAAAGGTGGTGACAGGGACCAGGGCAGGTCTCTTTTCTGCGCTACGTGCATGGGGACAGCTGGAGTCCTTTGCTCTGGGCCCCCGAAAGCGAGGAGTAGCACATGGTGGTGGGGTGTGGGGCAGAGGTCCCGGGGAGGAGGCGGGGGCTGCTTTCAGTCCCTGTCCCCTACGGATCGAGCCCCCCCCCCCAGCCCTGCAGAGAGCCTGAGCCAAGTCGTGGAGGTTTATTCAGAGCTGCCAGCTTGGGGTGGGGGCCCCACCTCGCTAGGGCTGAGGGCTCCAGGGGACACGATCACAGCTCCAGTCTCCAGTTCTGTCCCTCTGCAGCAGGCCTGGGGCCCCTACCTCTCCCTGTGACCATGGGGAGGGGACAGGACAGAGATCCCCCTGCCTTGGCCTCTGGTCAGCAGGTGGGCACCACGTAGTTCCCGGGGAAGAACCCGGTGCCCTCAGCACTGACGCCCTCGCACCAGCCGTCGGAGTAGCGGCGGGTGACGCAGATAACGGTGCCCTCGGCGAAGGACAGCTCGTTGTCCTTCTGGCGGGTGTACGGGTACAGGGTCACCACTGCGGGGCGGGAGAGGGACAGTTGAGGTGGCCCCATCCCGCAGGGATGCAGGTGCACAAGCCAGGGATGCGGGACCCTCTTCAGTGAGCTGTCGCCCAGTGCCAGGCCAGCGGCTCCTTTCCCTAACTCGATTCATCAGAAAGGGGTGCACGCCTCTGATCCCAGCATGCAGGAAGCTGAAGCAGGAGGGTCGCCGCAGGCTTCAAGCCCAGGCAGACTCAACTGCACAGGCAGACCCTGACAGAAAGACATGGGGGGAGGGGTGACGCGTTCACACCCCTGGGAAGCAGCAGGATGCGGGGGTCCACGCGCGAACCTTTCTCCAAGTAGGCGTCTGGGGTCCAGCTGGGCTCTTCCGGTCCAAAGCCAGGTGGGGGCGGCGGCAACCCCAGGTCATCGAGTTCGGGAGGTTCCAGCAGCTCTGTGGGACAGGGTGGGGAGTAAGAGCCAGAATTGACTTTTTAATTAGTTTCAGACAGGGTCTCGCTATATCCTTCCCCTTGAACTCTCAGGGACCCTCCTGCCTCGGCCTCCTGAGTGCTGGGGTCACAGGCGTGCAGCACCATGCCTGGCGGGGGTCCCTCAGTTTCCATGCCCGGGAGCGTACTGACGCTGTGCGCAGGGTGGTGGGTGGGGGTCGGTGTCGGAGGGGTGGGTTTTGGGGTGCTCACCCGGCGGGGGCAGGCACAGCTCCCCGGGCAGCGGGGGCGGCGGCAGGAAGTCCTCGGCGGGCGGGGGCGGGGGTGGCGGGGCCGGGGTCCCCCCGGGGACGCCTTCGGCGCTGCTGAAAACCGGAGAGTGGGTTGGGGGCGGCGGCCACGCGGCTGCACAGGCGCCCCCCCCACCCCGGGCTGTGCGGGGCGCTCACCTGGCTGAGGCCAGCGACAGCGACGAGGCGGAGGAGGCGGCGGAGAGGCGGCCGTCGGGGCGCACGGGGGGCTGCACGGGCTCGGGGACCCGGGGCGCCCTCCTGCGGGGACGGGGGTCAGCGGCAGGGCTGCGGGAGCTCGGGCGGGCGCTGGGGAGGTTCGGGGCGCGGGGGGGGGGCCTCACCCCAGGGTGGCCGAGGCGGGCGCGGCCGGCGCCTTGATGCTCCTGCGCCCCAGGGTCCCGGTGCGCGACAGCTGTGTGCTCAGGTCCTGGGGGGCGGCAACAGCTTGGCGGGGGGCCCCGCCCCCACCGCACGGAAGGGGCCCCGGGTTCCCACATCTCCGCCCTCGGCCCTTGGGGACCGAATGGCCCGGGCAGCGGCGTGTCTGGGGCCACTTCCTCCGCCCCCGCGGGTTCAGAGCGGCCCCCCCACCAGCGCTGCGCCCCGAAGAGGGAGGGGAGAAGCCCCGCCATGACTTCCTGGAGTTCAGAGCTGGGAGGGAAACAGGGGGACCCTTGGGCTTTGCACCCCGTGCAGGTAAGACCTGAGCTGGCTATGTGTGTTGAGTGTGAGCAAAAGCCTGGGTCCCCAGAACCCCCAAAAATAGATAACAGGAAGAATGTATGTGGCTGGAGGAACCACCGCTGTTCCCTGAGGGCAGCTGACATGCTACGGATGTCTGGGGGGGTCCTTTAGACACACCCAGAGATTGTGTCCGGGTCTCATCGTGCAGCTCAGGCTGGCTTTGCACTTGTGAGATCCTCCTGCCTCAGCCTCCCAAGCGGCACACAGATCTGGCCATGTGGCAGCCTGCAGGCTGAGACAGGGGTGTGCAAGGGCATCCTGCCCTCCCACGACAGACAGACAGACCTAGACAGACACAGACAGACGCCTGCTCTGGGTGACTGCGCCGTGGTGACCTCACCCCGACAGGAAGCTGCCTTTCTCATGCATACCCGGCATCCTCCTTCCCGCTTCCCCTTCCCACCCTGCACCCATGGGTGGGGTGCAGGGAGGGGGCCCAGGGACTTGCTCAACAGATGGGTTGAGTATGGGGTGAAGGCCTGGGATGGAGAGGGGGCCACAGCAGGGTGAGGGGCCTGGGTGGTGGCCGTGGGAGTAGGGACAGAGAGGGGGTGCTGCAGGCTGCAGCAACATGGGGAACCTGTAGTACCCCTTCTGGGGAGGCTGAGGCAGGAGGATCGCTGAGAGTTTGAAGCCAGCCTGGTCTGCATAGCAAGACTGTCTCAAAGACGTGGGAAGGAAGGAAGGAAGGAAGGCAGGAAGGCGGGCTCCGAGGTGGGGGGAAGCAGGCTCCTCTCTACCTTCACCCCATGTCCGATGTCATCCAGGCACCCAAAGTTGATGGGTCTCCTGCAGTAGGGCTCCAGCGGTGGCAGGCTCGAGGGGGCGATCACCTTCTGGCCAGGGTACAGGCGCTGCACAGCAGCCAAGGTGCCGATCTCCCTGCGGGCCACCTTCTCCAGATGCATGTCCACCATCTGGGCAACAGCGGGGAGGGGCTGTGGGGCTTCCCCCGAGAGGAAGGGAATGCGGGGTTGGGGCTCTGGTGGGCAGGTCAGTGCAGGCAAGGGGAGCCCTCTTAGCAGCTCCCTGGCAGTGGGGGGTGGGGCAGGGAAGAGAGAACACCGTCCCTGAGTGCCTGACGGACAGACAGACAGGACCATGGCCTGGGTTGGGAGTGGATGGCGGTTGGACCATGATCTCTTCGGGGCGCATCCCAGTGATTCATTTCCCCTTGGAAGCTCGGGGAGGCGCCTGTGGCCCCAAGAGGGACAGGAAGACACACCCTAAGCACTGGCCATGCTGGCCAGGCGGATGCTGGATGGAGCCCAGGCACGCGATACTCTGCCATCCCAGGGTCAAGACCTGGGAGGGAAAGAGGCTGCGGATGCCACAGGGTGGGGACCCTGGAAGTGGGGGATGGTGCTTGCAGGGCTGGAGGTGACCTTGCCCAGCAAACACTCTGGGCATAGGGTGATTAAGAGGCAGGAGCTCTGTGTGGCCCAGGCTGGGTTTGAATTGGGAGGAAGAGCCTCCTGCCTCAGCCTCGTGTGCAGTGAGTGGCCAATGAACCTGGACCCCGCCCACAGCCTTACCTGGCCCAGTGCGCTCACCCGGGCCTCCACCTGCCGCAGGGCCGTGCTCTGCAGGTCCAGCATGCGCAGTGTGTGCCCGGCCAGGTTGCCCACCTGGTAGGCCACACTGGCCAGGGCCTGAGTGGCAAAGGCCATGGTCTCCTCCAGCGCCTTCCGCTTGTCCGTGGCCTGGAACACACACAGCCCTGGCCTGAGGCGGTGCCCCCAGGGGCCAGGCGGCTCTAGGGAGGGTGAGGAGCAGAACTGGGGACAGCCTGAGATGCCCGGGGAGGTTGCCTGGAGAATGGGGTGGTTAGAGGGGGCCAGCTTGTTCAAACATAAGTCATCCAGCTGGATGTGGGAGTGCACACTGTGTCCCCAGCACTCAGGAGGAGGTTCACCCCGAGTTTCAGGCCGGCCTGGACCACAGAGTGAGACTGTGTCTCAGAAAACAAAAAAGTGAAACAAAACCACACAAACCAATCTCAGGCCCCACCCCAGACCTTCAGCTTAGAGTCTCCTAAGGGTGATGCCAAAGAATGGGTGTCTTTTGAAGCTCCCAGGGGACACCACATTTCACATTTAGCCCTGGGATCTAGGTTGGTGTTGGGTGTCAGATAAGGAGACAGGGCCGGAATGACCGCTTCCCAGTACCCTGAGAATAAAATCCCAGCTCCTGACCACAGCCTGCAGGTAGCCCCTTGGGTTGGGCTCCTGCCCCCTCTTTACCCGATGCCCTAAGGGGCGCCTTTCTTGCTCCTTTCCAGCCATTCTGGCCCCTGGAGTCTGGCCCTGGACGAGCTAGGTTGTCCCTGCCTCAGGGCCTTTGCACTTGCTACACTTCTTAGACTCCTTCTCATTCCTGGGTTTCAGTTTCCCTGAAACACGTTCCCTCTCCACACTGAAAGTCCCTTGCCCTGCTCTGTACCAGCTGAGTCTCATTTCCCTGTTTTGTTTTTTCTTCCTCGAATTTAATACTATCAAGCCCCATTTACTTCCTTGTTGTGCAGTACTGAGGACTGAACCCAGAACCTTTGCGTCAAGCTGCATTCCTAGCCCTTTCTATTTATTCATTTTTAATTCTGAGACAGCATTTTGCTTAGTCTTTGAGTTGCTGAGGCTGGGTTTGAATATGTGATCCTCCTGCCTCTGCCTCCCAGGGTCCTGGGAGTACCAGCATGCACCACCACACCCACCTGTTTACTTCTTTATTTTCGGTTCCTCCTTCTCCAAAACAAGGACTATGAGAAAAATTAAGGCTCTTGTCTGTTTTATTCTGCATCCTACCCTAACTCACAGCCGATCAACACTGAGGCATTTGGGGGCTGACAGGCAGACCAAGCAGGACCTCGAACACTGTTTGTTTGAGGCTGGCCTCAATCTCACATGGATCCTCCTGCCTCAGCCTCCAGAACCATCAGAGACCAGTCCCGAGAGACTGGCTGTCCCCAGGGTCTCCTGAGCCACAGCCTTCTGGGAAGCCGCTTTCCAGGGGGAGGCAATCGATGCCCATTTGCATACTGATTTGCATCTAATCCGCATATGCATCAGGGCCTGGAGATGGAGCTGCAGAGATCTCTGTGTAGCCCAGAGCACCCAGCATAGGCGAGGACTCGGCCCAGATCCCAACTGAGACAGCTCCCCCTTTTCCCGGACAGTACCCCAAGACTGGGATGTGGAATTCTCCACCCCCCAGTATAAGTGGGGTCCACTCTGGGTGCCTGGGCCCTCCTGACCCAGGCTTTGCTCATGACCCACTGCTAGGCCCGGAGAAGAAAGATCAGTGTGGGGTTTGTTTGCCATGCAAATTGCTGCACTACAAATCTGGGGGGGCCCTGAGAGAGCACCCAGGCTCACCCTGTTTGCCTTCACCTGTCCCAGGGTCTCCTGACACCTGGCTGGAGCCTTGGATCCCAGCACTGGGGAGGCTGAGGCAGAAGGATTCCTGTGGGTTCAAGCTACATAGTGAGACCCTGCTTTGAACCAAACCAAAACAAGAAATATAAAAGCTGTCTTAAAGTCACTCGAATGGCAAGGAGGGAGGTGGAGGTCCGGGAGGAGAGGCCTGAAACAGAAAGCTTCCTTCTAGCCTCGCAGGACACAGTGGGCTCAGGGGCAGAGCTGCTGCCCCTTGGCCCCCTGCCCCTCAGCCCTCACTGGGAATCTGGCCTCAGGCCCAGGACAGACTCAAGACTGCAAAACAGTGCGGTGCAGCGCACATCCCCGGCCTCTGCCTCAGCCCTTCTCTCACTTTAGTGTCTGCAGTACCCGGCGGGACCGCAGCCTCCCCCGAGCAACACACACCCGCCTCCCTTTTTTAAATTTTGAGACACAGTCTGCCTAAGTTGCTAAGTTGCCCAGGCTGGGCTTGGACCTGAGATCCTCCTGCCTCAGCCTCCCGGGTGCACCACCCAGGCCAGACAAATTCCCCCTTGACTGGCCCAGGATCACAGCCAGGTCGGGGTCCACGGTGTCACCTAGAGCCGACCAGGGTCCCCAACCTCCGGGGCACTGGCAGGAGGAGGAAGCCAGGTGGCACCCGAGTGAGCGAGGGTCGGCGTGGCCCAGGCCCGGCCCGCACCTGTCCCTGTGCCCGCGCCCCGGGTCCCGCAGGGCCGGCGTCCCTCCCACCTTCACGTAGTTGTCCTCGCAGTAGTCGGCGACCCGCAGCAGGGCGCCGTGGTTCCCGCGCAGCGCCTCGCGGCCCGCGGGGATCTCGAAGTCCTGCAGCTGCTGCAGCTCCGCCATGGCCCGGCCGCGGGGCCCCGGCCCGGCTGCCTCCACCCGAGACTCGAACCCGCCGGTCGCGCGGTTCCGGGGCGGGAGGAAGTGGCCCGGGCGCCGTCCCTGCCCCAGCCGGCGGAGGAAGCGAGGTCTGCGGCTGTGATTGCCGCCGCGCCGCTGGCTGCCGGGAGGAAGCTGGTAGGTGGGGACTGGGGGCCAGAGGAGGAAGAGGTGGCGGCGTGGGGGTGCATTTTCCACCGGGGAAGAGCGGAGGGAAGGGCAGGGCCCCGGCTTCCTTGGGAAGCGCAGAATGAATCACCCAGGCTGCAGCCCGGGAGGGCAGGAGATGGGCCCCCCAAGGGTTCTCAAGCCCTGGAGGGGTCAGGAGAGAAATGGGGGGCTGACGGCAACAGGAGGAGTTGAGATGGGCCACTGAGTGGTGCGCATACCTGTGATCGCAGCACTCGGGAGGCTGAGGCAGGAGGATCGCCCCGAGTTTGAGGCCAGCCTGGGCCACACAGTGAGACTCTGTTTTGCCTCCCTCCCGCCCCCCAAAAATGGAACTGACCAAGTGAGTGAGAGGGGCTCTGGTCAGACAGCAGGGGGGACTCAGCGCTGAGCAGGGGGGTGCGTCATGGCCCCAAGCAGGCCTCAGGGTCCCCAGGTCATGGAGAGGACCGAGAGAGATCAGCTGGCTAACCCTGGTGTTGAGGGCTCCAGACAAGGGGTGACCCTACTTGGGGAAACAGGGGGCCATGGAGGCCAAGAAGGTGGGATGCAGGCAGGAGGCCAGGGCCAGTGCCAAGCGCCCAGCACTGTGGACACAGGGACGTTTTTGTGGCGTGAGGATGAGGGTGAGCTGGGGACCTCTGTGAGATGACGCTGTGGGGTCCCCCGGGGACACCAAGATTTCTGGGGAAGGGAGTTTGGGGGCTGCTCTGAGATCCGACCCCTGGGGCAGAGTAGCTTCAAACCAGGCTCAGAGTTCTGGGGGGAGCCAGGTGGTTCTGGGAACCTGTGATCCCAGCACTCGGGGGAGGCTGAGACAGGAAGATCACGTGAGCTTGAGGCCAGCCTGGGCTCCATAGCTAGATGCCATCTCCCCCGAGATGAGCAGGAGACGGGCAGGCAGAAGGCATGTGGTCTTGGGGGGGCCCTAGAGGATCGGGGTGCTGAGACAGGGCATGAGCATAGAGTCGAAGGCACACCCAGGCACCTCTGTTTCCTGCCAGGTCTTCGGGCAGAGGATGGCGTCCCTCTGTGGCCCAGGCAGGCAGGCTTAGCCCCTTGAGCCGTGATCGGCTTAGGCCCGGAATCCGCCCAGGCCAGCTGCCTTATCCGGGATCTCACGGGCAGCAGCTGCCCTGCGGCGTCCTGGCTGAATCTTGACCGGGCCCAGGCAGTGACTGACAGCCCCAGCGCTTGTCCCCGCAGGTGAGGGGCTGAGGGGGCTCGGGCGGGCACCTGGGTGGGCATCCAGGAGGGGAGGCGGGATCCTTCAGGAGCCTGCAGTGACCCGCACGGTCTGTGTCTTTTATGGTACCGACTGGGGCTTGAACCCAGGGCCTTCGCTCCGGTTCAGCCCCCCTTTCTATTTTTTTAATTTTTATATTAATATTATTATTATTGGTATTTTGAGACAGGGTCTCACCTGAAGTTCAGGCTGGCCCTGGGCTCACTGTGTAGTCCAGGCTGGTCTTAAACTTCCAAAGATGCTCCTGCCTCAGCCTCCCGAGTGCTGGGATTATAGGAATGCACCACCATGCCTGGACTAATACCAATATTATTATCAGTCATAAGAGTTGTTACATATATTTTGTTCCTAGGTAGTATATTAAAGGTTTTATGTGCATCATTGTCTTAGAACAGTAATTGTATGAAGTGGACACTATCAGGATTTTATACCCATTTTTCTGGTGGAGAAACTGAGACTGGGGGAAGTTGAGTCTTCACCTGAGGTCACCCAGCAAGAAGGTTGCTGAGCTGGCTCAGGGCTGGTGGCTGGTGGCTTGGAAGCCCTGTTTTCCAGAGTTTACTGCTGGGGACCATGAAGAGAACAGTGACCTGAGCCATCCCCAGAATAATTTTGTTCCCAAATCTTTCTCCATGGAAGAAACTACTTTTTTTCTGTCCAATTCCTTCTTAGACAGACCCTTATCCAAGGGCAAAAGTCTTGTTTTGTTTTTAGACAGGGCCTCACTCTGTAGTCCAGGCTGTGTAGCCCACCCTCAATGAACTCACAGGATCTTCCTGCCTCAGCCTTCCAAGTGCTGGGATGAGAGATCCGCTCCACCATGCCTAAGAGCAAAAACTGTGTCTTGTCTCTCAGCCTGGGCTTGTCCCATGCTTCCGAGCCAACACCTATGCGGGGGGCAGAGTGAAGCCTGGTTGGGGTTCACTGGGTGTGGGGAAACTGACAGCATCAACTCCCCCAGGTCTCTCCAGGCCGCCATGGCCCAGGACCTCAGCGAGAAGGAGCTGCTACGGATGGAGGTGGAACAGCTCAAGAGGGAGGTGACCACCCCGAGGGCCCCGGTGAGTCGCCCTCCCAAATTGGGAGCTGGGATTCAGGGGTGGAGGGGACAGAGGGGCTTTTCCAGGGCAGGTAGGAGGAGGCAATGGCGCATACTTGTCACTCTCAAACTCGGGAGGCTGAAGCAGGAGGACTGCACTGAGTTCCATGCCAGCGTGGGTTGCCCAGAGAGACCCTGTCTCAAAAAGCAACCAGGGAGCAGGGGTGGGTGTGAGCGCTGGATCAGTGTCACCTGCCTCCTGGCCTGTCCCCGGCCCTGTCCCCTCTGTCCTGCCCTGCCGGGTCTCTCTCCCACCCTGCCAGGCTCCCACCTGCCCAGGGCTGATAGACCCTGGGTCCTGGGCAAGGGGTGAGGCCGTGCCCCTCTGGCCCCGCAGATCTCCAGGACGGGGAAGGAGATCAAGGAGTACGTGGAGGCCCAGGCGGAGCGCGACCCCCTCCTCAGGGGCGTCCCAGAGGACAGGAACCCCTTTAAGGAGAAGGGCGGCTGCCTGCTGAGCTGACACCCAGCCCTGCACCCTGCTCTGGGCCACCGTCCTGGGGCCGGGGACCCAGCACCTGCTCCCCTCTGAGGCACAGCAGGAATCCAGGGGCCTGAGGAGCACATCCAGGGCCGCACACTCCACCCTTCCCCCTTCCCGCCTGAGCATCCCCAGCACCCCACTGGGAGACGCCTAGAAGAGTCTGTGGGCTGAGCTGCCGCAGGTGGCAGGGGTGAACACCCACAAGCTGGGCCTGGCAATGCACACCTGCAACACAAGCTGTCTTTTTCTGGTAGGCTGAGGCAGGAGGATCTCAAGTCCTACCTAGGCAACTTAGCACAACCCTTTCTCAAAATAAAAAATAAAAAGGTCTGAGGTTGTGGCTCAGTGCAGAGGTCCTGGGCTCAGTGTCCAGGGCCACACCAGACACACACACACACACACACACAGCCTATGACACCCTGAAGGAAAAAGTCATTTCAAGTGCTGGGGGCTGGGACTCAGGGTCTGTTTGTGTCACCACATGTCCTATCCTGTGACCCTCTTCTGGGTCACTGAGGTCATCCACAGGTCCTGATGACACAAGGATCTGAAAGACAGGATTTCACGGCTGGCTCAGTTGTTCCCTGCTCATGAATTTGCCACGGTACAGGCTGAAAGGGGGACCGGCCCAGGGAGGGAGCTGGGCCCAGGCACCAGCAAGGCCAGCGTGGACGCGGGAAGGGGCCACGGGGTGGGGTGGTTGAGGCTGGAGGGGGACCCTGGTCTGGACCAAGGCCAAGTGTGAGGTACATGTCTGCAGTCCCAGCCTTGGGAGGCTGAGGCAGGAAGATGGCCCTGAGCTCTGGGCCAGCCATAGTGACACCCTGTCTCAAGACAGCAGTAAACACTAGAGACTTTATCAGTCTCCGTTTGCTGTCCGTGTACTCACAGTCACTGTCCTGCGCACCGCACATTTGGTCCCCCTGCTCCTCCTCCACCCAGCTCTGCCTCATCAAACCCTGGGGGACTTTTCTTACTTGGAGAAATGGCGGAGTGCTGTCACCTCAGCCCCCAGAAAGCTGAGGCAAGAAGATGGCAAACTCCAGCCCAGCATGGACAACGTGATGATCCAGTGAGACCATTTAATAAAATAAATAACTAAATAAACAGGCTAGGAGAGGAAGCTATGGGCTCAATCCCACCAAGACAAACCATCATAGCCAGGTGTGGTGGCTCACGCCTGTAATCCCAGCACTTGGCTGAGGCAGGAGGATGGCTGGGAGTTCAAAACCAGCCTGGGCTGCAAAGTGAGCTCAAGGCCAGCCTGAACTGCATAGAGATCCTGTCTCAAAAAGACAAAAAAAAAAGAGAGAGAGAGAAAAAAAAAGAAAGATAATCATAGGAAGTAAACTTTTCTTCTTCAGTCTCAGGGAAGGAGGAAGTAGATGATACTAAGGGACAGGTTTCAGTTAGCAAGGGGCCCAGCACACCTGTAATCCCAGCACTCTAGAGGCTGAGGCAGGAGGATCGACGCAAGTTTGAAGCCAGCCTGGGCTACATAGTGAGAGCTTGTCTCGCACAGCTGGCTGTGAGTTCAAGGCAATTCTCCTGCCTCAGCCTTCCCAGAGCTGGGATGACAGGCTGTGCCACTGTGCCTAGCTTGAAGACCCTCTTGGCAGGACAACTTCAGAGAAGCCTTCCGGACGCCAGTTCCTCCAGTCTGCATTCCCCATCTAGGGGCCCAGCCTCGGGCTCCGCCCAGGTCTCCAGCAGTTCTACCCGAGACCTGGACTGTCTAGCCAGGACCTGAATCACTCCAAGACCAGAGAGGAGGCCTCACCCGGACGTGATGAGGGACTGTAATGCCCAGGTGGAGTCAGAAGGGACAAACAGGGGCCTGTCATCCTAGCACCTGGGAGGCTGAGGCAGGAAGATCACCCTGAGTTCAAGGCCAGCCTGGGGTATATGGTGAGGCCCTGGGCCTGGTAAAGTCACTGAGACCAGCAGCTACTGTGACAGAAGAATAGGGGCCAGGAATAGAACTTGGAGAGCAGCAGCTCCTCCTGCCGGGGTGGGGGAAGGAGACTGGGGAAGAGCAGGAGGGCAGGGGCAGAACTCAGGATTTTGAGTGGAGCCTGAGCTAGAAAAAGGGAGGGAGAAGGAAATGTACACTCTTGTGTTGTCCCCTTGGATTTTGAGACAGGGTGTCACTACGTAGCCCAGGCTGGCCTTGAACTTGTGATGATCCTGCTGCCTCAGCTTCCAGAGTGCACATCTGTGCTGTATAAACTGGTGGTGGGGGTACACCCGTCATCCCAGCACTAAGGAGGCCAAGGCAGGAGGATCATCCTGAGTTCAAGGTCAGCGTGTTCTGCAGTTCACAGGCCTGACAGCGTGCCAGGCAGCCATGCGTGCGTGTGGCTGCGCTTCAGCTCTGGTACTTAGAACACCGGAGATTAGGCACAGGCCGGGAAGGGAAAGTGCTGCCCCCTGCTGGCCAGCGGCCACACCGCAGGCGCGCCTGCCCGGGAAATGTGGGACCCCAGCCCCACGGAGTCACCTGGTGGGTAGGGATGGAGGGAGAGGGGTTTTCTCTACAGCTCGGGGGCAGAAAGAGAAGGAACCACCGACGGGGTCAGTCAGAGATGCTGGAGCCAAAGCAGCAGGACGGCTGGCAATGAGTGGTTTACAAACGGTGGGCCAGGTGTGGGGACACACACCTGTCATCGAAGCACTCGGGAGGCTGAGGCGGGAGGATCTCTGTGAGTTCGAGTCCAGACTGAACTACATGGCGAGACCGTGTCTCAAAACATAATATTAACAAAATGAAATTGATGAACTGGGACCAGCGAGAAAAAACACACAAACACCGAAGGAAAATATCAAGACTGCACCTTATAAAAAGAAATAAAATGTAATAAATTTACATAGCAACAGAAGAAGAGGGTACCTTTACCTTTAAGAGGGTAAATAACTGCTTTTTGAACGTCTTTAGTTTTGTCTGTGCATGTGTGCACTGGCCTGTAGAATCACACAGATAATCATTTTGTTTTGGTTCGGGTTTTTTGAGACAGAGTCTCACTATGCACTCCAGGCTGGCCTCACTTACCGTGATCCTCTTGCTTCAGCCACCTGGCACCACCATGCGGTGACAGCCTGGCTCTCCAGCCGCTCTGTGACAGACACATTGTTAGAAAGTCCTTTCTTCTTACTTCTCCTCCAACTCTCACACACAATGTGAAACACAGTTCCCTGCCTCTGCTGCAACCCAGACTGGGAACTTATAGGAGACACAATGCAGGCAGCTGGCCTCGAACTCCCAGCAAGTTTCCTGCCTTAGCCTCCCAAGGGATTACAGGTGTGAGGCACTTCATTCAAATTCTCTTGTACATTACAAATATCTTTTCATATTCTGTGGCTTCCTTTTTCTCTTCTGTAACGTGGCCTACTTATTCAAGCGTGTGTGTGCTCACGTGTGCGAGTGCACACGCGCCTTTTAAGCTCCAGCTCTGGGCCACACCCAAGCTGCGTTCGCTTTCTCGCCTGCGGGACTGGAGCAGGAACTGATGGAATGAGTACACGCACGTTTCATTCTTGTGCGGGCTCTGCAGGACGAATGGGCTCACTGTGCACTGCACCTACGTCCTGATGCGAATAACATTTCTACACTGAACAAGAACAGGTAAGATAGTTCGATCCCCGGTACCAAAAACAAAACAAACCACCAGACATGATGAAGTGTATTAAACTTTCAGACCCTGTGGGTTTTTTTTTTTTTTTTTAAACCGGTACCGGGGATCAAACTCATGACCGCCTGTTTGCAAAGCAGTGCTTATGCCACTGAGCGAAATCCCCAGCCCCAACCCTGTGTTTTTCATGAAGTCGTGGGCGTCGAGATGTCCCCTGTGTCTCCTAGTGAGGGCCGTGGAAGCCTAAGTTAGGGAGGAATCCGACTTCCTGCCTCCCCCCACCCCGCGTGCCTCCACTGTCCCCGGGTAATCTGAACAGAAAGCCCCCGCAGCGCCACCTTCGTGGCCCTGGCCCGGTTCTGAGCACCTAGCACAAGGTGACCTCGGGCCCTGCGGTGCCCGCTGGCGATGAGCCGCTCCCGCGGGGGCCGAGGCGGTATCCCTGAGCGCCTTGGGCGCGGGCAGGGAGCCTGGAGACAGGCGAGAGGGAGCGAGGACGCGGTTTCCATGGCATCTCCGGGAGGGGAACGCGGGCCCACGGCGCCGATCGCCTGCGGAGAGAGCACAGGTGCGTCATCTGTTCCCGCCGTGCCCGCCCGCAGAGCCTGCCTGGCTCGGAAGAGCTCTGAATCTGGGTCCCTGGGCGGAGTCGCTCGGGTCCGAGGAAGATCAGTGGAGAACCCCAGATGGGCTGACCAGCCGAAGAGCCCACGTCCAGACCCAGCCGCTATTCTCTGAACAACCGACGCCCGCGACCCCCCGGCTGAGTACTGGTGTAACTAGGCTCGCAACTCGGGTCTCTAACCCTCAGACACATGTCGGGTAAACCCTATTACTCCTTTTAACCAATCGGAGCGCCGTAATAGCCATTTCCCCGCTCTCTGGTTCTATCTGGCTTCTTCATTGGCGAGTCCAAGAGCAGTGAGCCGCGCGCTCCACACAGTGACCAATAGGAGAGAGCCGGCCGTGTGGAAGGCTTGGCCTCCTCACTTTGCGGCGGTCCCAGCGTCCGCCCAGAGTAGCAGCCTCGGGCGCCTTCGGTTTCTTTCGGCGCCTTCCCCAGGGCTAGAGTCGCTTTTCGTTTCCTACTCCCGCGTTTTCTCTACTCGCCTCTCGCGCGTGCGCACTGCAACGGGCAGAGGGCCTTAAACCAGGATGTTACAGCGGGAGGGACCCTAAACGGCGGTCGCGCCGGTCAGGGGGGCCACCCAATGGCCCGAGGTGGTTGCCGCCGCCCGCGGGCTCCCTAAGCAGGAATTGTAAAACCAAAAAGAGCTAGTGAGGTCCCACCGAGATTTGAACTCGGATCGCTGGATTCAAAGTCCAGAGTGCTAACCATTACACCATGGGACCTGCTGGGTGCTCAAGGCGGCCGGGCGCCTTCTCAAGCCGCAGCATGCTGTGCACGGTCTCGGCAAGGCTCGCCGCGCGTCCCCCGGGCCCGGGTCCCCGAGGTGCATCCCGGGCTTCTTCCTTGTCCCATGCGACCCGAGCGTCCCTGGCCCGCGCTGTCCTTTCCTCCGCGTCCTCCCGGGTCCGAGGACGGCTGGTTCCAGGCACCAGGCTCGGCACGCGCAGCCCGAGCTTCCCGCTTGCTGCTATTTATTTATTTATTAACAGGAAGCCGCCCGTTCGCTGCGCACTTTGGCCGAACCGGGAGGGAAGCGGGCTGGCACGGAGGGGAGTGGGGTTCAAGCCTCG